TTCTAGTTGGTGAAACTTTAAAAACACTAGTGAGAACCCTGAACACTGAGCGAGATCGTTTGAAGTGTGCATTGGAGCAGGATGCGGGTGTCGCCAATGTGCAAGGTAGTGCTGCATATATTCAGACTTTGCGGCAGGCACTAAGTGAGGTAAATAGTTTTTTTTCTCTTTTGTTTTCAACTAAATGCCATACTGGTAATTGCAGTACTGCAAATACAGTATACTGATGAAGTACATAGCTTGCATGCTTTTGTTTTAATTTTTTGAAATTGAAGATCTTATTTGCCATTTGCTTTTTTTTTTTAATTAACTTTGTGTTTAGAAATCAATAAAGCAAATTCAAAAAGCAAAAATGTATAATTTGTAATTATTTTAACTTAACAGATACTAGTTTTTTTTATGGAAATTCATCTGTATAGATTTTTGATTCTTTTATACACAAAAACTTTTCAATTTCTACACTTACTTGAACTGTTCCTTTTGAGTACTACTATGACCTTCCTCAGTGTGTGTTCCTCTGAGTCTGCTTTGTTTAGGTACAGTTCAAGTAAGTGTAGAAATTGAAAAGCTTAAGCATATAAAATAAGATATTGGGTTTCATGACCAAATGAATTCCTTCTTTGCGTGCCGAACTTAAATAAATCCATGAGTAATCCCAGATGTCTCTTTTCCCAGGCTCATCAGCAGAATAAAGAGTTGCGTTCAAGACTAGCCCGTATCCATGGAGAGTCTGATCTCTCTGTCCTGCCCTCTCCTCAGAGCACCCTTGACAGTGATCAGGTAATTACCATTGTGACCAGTCTACTCAGAATGGAATAAAAAAAAACTTCCAGTTCTAATCAAAATTAGGAAGTTTGAAGATTAAATATATAGATTATGGAAAAATAAGCAAATTAAATATGGTTTCTGAAATGCGTACTAAGTTGATCTGATCTGACTTATTGCTATAAGCAGTAAGTTTCCTTGTATCTAGGCTGTAATATGATGTCAGAGATGGTAATGCTGTCTGTTGGTGTGATCTGATACATTATCATAGAAGTATTTAGATTCTATAACTGTGTTGTAAGTGAAAATGTTTCACAATGTCTCTGTTTTGAGAATGAAATTCTTCTCTCACATTGCAAAATCTTTTTCTGTTGAATTTCAGATTATAATTATATGTGTTCATACGTTGCTTAAGTGCTTTTAAAAGATGTTACACTTTGTATGAATTTTATACCAGTTCAATTGAGTTTCTGGTTCAAATTCCAGGGCAACAAATTATTATCCCAATCGCTGTCCTTAGAGAGCACTTCTATATCAGAATTCTTTGATGCAGCTGAGTATATAGCACCTAGTGCTTCTTCATCAGAGGTAAGAAAAATTGGATAAAAGTTACTGATAATGTGATATTGATAATGGATTCTAACTTAGAAAAGACTAGCATGAATTTTTTTAGTTTATTTGTTAATCAGTTTTTTTTAAATTAATTTATTAAACCTTGATAACATGCAGTAAAGGTAGAAAATGAAAACTAATCATGGATTTTGGTCACTTAACCTGAAATTTAGACATAATTTTATTATAAGATTTATTTGGAAGTACCTGAAATTTAGACTTTTTTGTAAGGATTTTGTTTTAGATATTCTAAACTTGTCATATAAAGCTTAAATTATAAAATTTTACTTGGGTTTTCTGTACAGGGTTCTGATGAAGAATCGGACTCCAGTGAAGTAGAAGATGGAGAAGAGTTTGACTTTACTCCTCCTTCAAGTGGTAAGTAAGATTTCTTATATATTATTTATGAAAAGATGCTATAAAATACAATAGGAGTGTTTTAACTACATTTAAATTTTTTAAGAAAATGTCATTTGAACCTTTTCGTAAAATCCTTAGACATCAAACTTAATTGGACCAAAGGAGAAAATAAGCTATTAGATTCTAGGTAATGCCAAGAAATATAGATACAAGTTAATAAAGGTCTTCACTCAGAGCATTTTAGTTTCAAAATATTAAGGGACATCTGTTCTTTCCTGCAGGAGATATCCAAGAAGGAAATGGTAGTGTTAATTTTATCTCACAATTTCATTTATTTATGGTTTTTATTTGAATGAAGGTCTGTCATGCACTTTGGTTTATGTACAAAAGTATTTCTGTTTTAAGACACATCTTTTCCATTTAAAGTACGTAAGAATATTTGTAACATCTTTTATTGGACCTTCAAGTGTTACAACATGAGAAAGTTGCATCCTCATCTTGAGAATTTTCAGGTCACTGATGGATTGATAACTTATTCTCAATCAATTATATGAGCAATGATATGGCAAGAGTCCCTGGGCAGCAGATATCCCCCTTAAATGGATGTAGCATTGTCACTGTTGTAACATTTTCAAGTCCAGTAATAGGTTAAAGAACTTATTTATGTATTATGTCAGCTGTTTATCTGATGACATTCAAAAACTTCATTAAAGGGTTAGTTAACTTTTAAGTTAAGGGGGGTTGGGGGTGTGGCAAGATGATGGATGGTGCTTTTTTTTTTTTTTTTTTTTTTTGCTTAAAGAAGGAGAAATTTTAAATTGCATCATTATTTTACCCATATGGCTAAGAGAGGTCTTAAGTCTGACCAGTGTGGCAGTTTTTGTAGATAATGTTCTGCCCTCAGTACATTATTGCAAATATTAGTTTCTTTTTGTTTTTGGATTAGTTAAGTTTAATGCTTAAGATAAATATGCTTGCAATGTTAAAAGAAGAATTTAATATGATATAGAATTTCAATGAGCACTACTACTAGTAGTTGATGATTAAAAGGTTATTGAATGGTTTATCAGGTTATATTGTAAAATATTATGCTTATGAAGTTATTTTTTAGAGATCAAATCTAACTGTATGTGATAAATATAAATTTCATACATAACATAATGAATTACTGTTCCAGACATAGACCTTGCCAAAGCAACTGGCCATCGAGAAAAATTGCCTGCCCCCAAAACAGACGCTGGAGACCTCAATTTGTGGAATCTCTTATGCAAAAATATTGGCAAGGACTTGTCCAAAATCTCAATGCCAGTCACTCTCAATGAACCTCTGAATATACTACAGGTGGGTTCAGCCATAGTCAACTGAATGCTCTTCCAGTTAGCACCAGTTTCCTTTATTTTTCATTAAATATCTATATAGAGCAGTGGGTCTTGTGATTTCAGTACTAGTTTAAAAAAACATGGAAAACATTTAAAAGTGCTATTTTGTAAGAGTGTTTGTTGATGTTAGAATGGAGATTATTTACACGGCTCTGGCAAAAATGTAAAATCTTATGCCTGGGCATAATTACAAGCACATAATCGTGGTGTCAGATGGGATCATGGCATTTTACGGGCATGGTTTTGCTCCAATTTCAGTGGCTGTGTGAAGAGCTGGAGTATAGTGAGCTTGTGGACAAGGCTGCACAGACTGATGATCCAATTGATAGAATGGTAGGTTCTTTAGGTTGTTCTAACATGCATAAAGCTTAACTTATTAACTTTAAATAATGTAAATAATGATAATAAACAAATAATGATTAAGTGTGTAATTGTATTGAAATTTTTTACACTAAACATTAAAGAAAAATTGATCATTCAGTTTTTTTTTTTTTTCTAAATAGTGATTTTGATAATCCATCAATTAATTTTGTTGCAAGAATGCTTTGCATTTTGCAAGTTTTTTTTTTTTTTTTTCACTGTTAGACTTTCTTATTACACTTTTCTTAGACATCTATTGCTTATTTGATATTTTAACAATATGATGTGTACCTGTCCAGGTTTATGTGGCTGCATTTGCTGTTAGCGCATATGCCTCATCCTCCTGTAGGGCAGGACAGAAACCTTTTAACCCTCTGCTGGGAGAGACATATGAATGCGTTAGAGAAGACAAAGGATGGAAGTTCATTGCAGAGCAGGTAAGTTCCTGCCTGGCTGGGCTTTTCCCAGGATTGGGGGTGCAGGACATCCAAAATTACCCCCTGTTATTTCCAACAAAATTTCTGGGAGACCATGTATGCCTAAAGCCGTCATATTTCCATAAAATCTCTGAGCCATCCAGCTGTCTTTGATAATATAGGCCGTCCGGTGATGATGGTGGCTGTCCAAATGACAGCTTGACGGTTTGCTGGGAAAACCCTTGCTGCCTGGCCAATTTGACAATCAATCATTTAACTTTCAATTGAGAGCTTGTTAATTTGTTAGGTAAAAACTGCAGATGTGTTATGAAACTTGTTTGCTCAGATGATTTTTGGCGGTTTGTGGTTGTGTACATTATTTATTTCTAAAACAAAAGACATATTGTATGTAAATACTGTAGGGACAACAGCATTGGTTTTATTTACTGGAAATTTCATATTGAACTTCAGACTAAGGAGATGCTTACAGTTTTATGTTTTATGCCAACTGATCGGATTACATGATCAATTTACACAGTGGTCTCTACCACTGTAAATTGTATTCCCACACAATTTAGTGGCATGTCTAAAACTAAAGAAATATGTTCCAAAGATTTGCTGGATATAAAAAATAATTTAACTTATGCAGTCTACTGAAGTTTTTTTTTTTCTTTTTTTCAATCACTTACTGTTGGAACACTTTTTCAGTTAATAACTTTTTTTAAATTGTTTTCTTCTTAGGTCAGTCATCATCCTCCAATCTCAGCATGTCACTGTGATTCCCCGAACTTTATATTTTGGCAAGGTAGGTTTGTTTAAGTAAAAGAACCACAGGTGAATGCTTTTTACTACTACATAGGTACACTGCTTTATGGTTAAATACAAATTTAATTATGGTCTGGTGTAGAAAAAACTAAGGAGCCAAGAAGGTGCAAAAGAACTGTATTGTTTGTTGTGTTTCATTTTAGAATCTCGTATTAAAAACAAGTTTTGGGGAAGATCCATGGAAATCCACCCTGTAGGAACAGTGCATTTAGTATTGCCAAAGTAGGTGCATTTCATTTGTGTCGTCATATACAGGTTTTTGTAATTATATGTTCCAAAAATATATTCTCCCTGTCTAAAAGTGATTGTACACTGACAACAAAAACTATGAGACAGCAGTACACTCTTAAACAGGATGATAACTCTTTTTGGTCAGATTTTTCAGTTTGACCATGATGAGTAGAAATGTAAAGCTCTTTATCAAATGTGATAATGCACATGTAACACTCTCACTTATTGTACAGTTCAAAAAATGTAACTATTTGGCCACATGTTACTACCATTTAAGGCATACCAGTAAAACCTTATTACATGTAAAAGAAGAAATTCAGTAAGAGAGAATTGAAATGTGCAAATGACTTACCTCTTTTCAATATTTTCCAAGCAGAAATGAAAGTTGACATTTTTCTATTGTGAAGGTATGGTGACCATTACCAATGGAACAAAGTGACCTCATGTATACATAATATTCTGAGTGGCCAAAGATGGGTTGAGCAATATGGAGAGATGGTCATCACTGCAGGGGCCATCACTTGCAAACTGACCTTTGCTAAGGTGATTTGATACAAAGACTAGTATATACATGCATGTAGTTTTCATTCGTCATGAAAAAACAAATTGGCTGCAGGTCATATTACTGTAATAGTTGACACTTTCATTGCTCTATTCAATATGCTATGAGAACTTATACTAAAGTAGAAATTGATATATATATATATATATATATATATATATATATATATATATATATATATATATATATATATATATACAGATTATATATCAATTTCTACTTTATATATATATATATATATATATATGTCTCAAGTTGCAGCGATGAGGGGTTGCCTTGAATCCTGTAAAATGTGTCTTTTCTCTAAAGCTGCTGTTTCATTTGCAGGCTTCATACTGGTCCAACAAGAAAAATGAAGTTTATGGGAACATTACTGACAAAGACGGCAAAGTGGTGCAGTACCTGTTTGGGAAATGGACAGAGGGCTTGTATTGTGGAAAAGCGCCCTCTGTGAAATGTATATGGAGACCAGGTATGGTGGATATGATGAAAATATTGTGATAGAAACTGCAATATTACCAGTATTGTGTGCATATCTTGATGCGAAGCATTATGTAATGACTTAAAATTACCTTGAGCTTTTAATTATTTTGTCTTCTTACATCTTCTTGCAGTAGAGTTGATCTTCTTGTCATGAAAGCATAATTTTTTAACTTGCCCATGTTAAATAAATTATATTGATTATATTTATTTTGCCACTTAAGGTGGATGCTAAAATAATGATGATACTAAAATTATCGTAATTCTTAAAAAAATATATTAAAGGCATTGAAATATTTGAAGGCTTGATTGCTTCCTGCTTCAGGAAGAAGCATCTACCTGATATGTGAGCATTCCCTCAGGAGTACTTTTTATTTCAGGTGCTTTACCAGATGACTATGAGCTGTACTATGGTTTTACCAAGTTTGCAATTGAGTTAAATGAGCTAAATCCTAGCCTTAAAGCAGTCCTGCCTCCCACAGATACAAGGTTCAGAACTGACCAGAGGTAATGTCTTTTTGCTTTAAAAACTGATACCACTTTGTTATCATGTCAGATGTGGGTATACTGTGGCTACACAGGTTTTTGAGTAACAGAGCCTAAGTTGCACAGTTTGCCATTGGTTTTGTATTAAAGAACTCTCAGGCCTCACTCCAGCATTAGTTTTAAGAATAATTTGAAAGTATTTTTTTTTTCTTCAATCAATAGGGAAATATTGAAATTGTTTACCTCCAATATTTCAATGTCTGTGAGAGCATCTTCATCTTGAGGGATATTTCAATATTTAGCTGTTGGCTGAGAAAAAAAATAACTTTATTCTTATATAACACAACACAGATGATGAAATTATTCTCTTGAGCATAAGTTTTGTTTTACAAAAATGGTTGATTCAGAAATGTTTCCATCAAATCAAAATTTTAAGTCAGTGCAGTCAACAGTTTTTTTTTTTTTTTTTAAATATTTGTATTCATTTATCTGTTACAGGCTTTTAGAAGAAGGACACATAGCAGAAGCAGAAACAGAAAAATTGAGAGTAGAACAACTACAGAGAGATCGTCGTAAACAAAGAGAAGCGGAAGGAATCAAAGCTGAGCCTATGTGGTTCAGGTATGCAGATGTTTTTTTTTTTTTTTTAAATTTACTTTGATGTTTATGTCTATGATCTGATTTTTGTTTTAAGATTTTTTTAAAAGGATTTATTAGAAATAGCATTGCCCTAGAATAAAATGCCAGACACTATTTAGAATTAATTGGAAATATACAGCAATATCTTTAATAGATAAAATTAATCTATTTTTTAAATTAATTTACAGGAGAGAAAGAGGAGAGGATGGCTCTGAGCACTTTGTTTTTTCTGGGAAATACTGGGATGCAAGGAAAAACCAAGAATTTGTCAAAATGACCTTTCCAAAACTGTGGTAGCTAGGATGAATTTTTTGTGGTCTGAGAAAATGAGTATTTGAAAAGACACCCTGTGTGCTTAAAGTCAGTTTTCTTGAACAAATTGTGATCCATTTCAAATATACCAGTTATTAGATTTACATAATGATAATTAGTAACTTTCTGTTAACTTGTGTTTAGAATTTAACCACTTCTTTATACAGAGATAGAATATGCTATGATCTGGATGCTCTAGATTATGAATGGGTTAGAAATTTTATTCTTTTGCCAAAATTCCATTTATTTACCTTATCACTGAAATGTGTGCAACGAAGATCTAGATGTTTTTTTTTTCTTTAATATATTTAAGGTATTTCATTAAAGGGATGCACAAACTTTGTGGTCAAGTTTTGCTAGTTGTTCTTATAAAGGTGACATTTTTTATTAGTTAAAATTTATATATATTTAATATAATGGAGCAAAAATTGGCAAATGCATTTTAAAAATGATATTGAATGCTGGGGTAAATTGAATTAAAATGAGTGCTTAAAATGACCGTGCAACTCTAGAGAAATGCACTAAAAAGGTACAAATACTATTAATACTGTTTTCACACTAGAAAGATTCCAATATGTTTGTGCTGATTCTGTGTGCCATAAATGGAGGAGTACTGATTACATATAGTAGACCCTTTGTTTAGATTGCTATTTGAAACAATTTGACCGAACAGTTTTGAATATTGAACAACTTTTATGAACATTTAATAAAAGAGGTGCAATATGATTTAGATCATTCTAAGTCATTAGATTTAAACTTAATTTCTAGATGTTCTAGAACTTATACAAGTATTTAACAGTTACTTAATATAAAATCAAAGGGTGGGGTTAAAGTGTTTGAAGGACTCTTAAGCTTATTAAATTTAAATCTGTTTTGGCAGGGCATAATATTTTACCATATTATTTAACACTTATTATATGATTTACGAATAAAAGCCAGATTGCTGAACCAAACCAACATCAAACATCTACACTGTACATCTGCACTGGCTCACATACTTCAGGTCTGTAGACAGGGGGTTAGAGGATTTGAAAGAACTTCATTTTTCCTCAGAAAAGGCTATTCTTATAATTTCTCTGCTATTTGTCAAGTTTGGTCAATTGGGGGTTGGGGGGGGCGTAAGGTCTACTTTTTTCGGGGAAAAAAAAGATGCTACTCCCATATTGACTGCAGGTCTGTGTTTATATTGAAACGCAACAGTAGATAAGTCTTAGTTATTAGTATGTATAATTAAAGTTAATTTATATTGATAGATAAGCCAGTACTTATGGCCAAGTAATGTGATATTTTATTGTAACTAAATTGATATTACTCCAATTGTCTATTTAATAATTCAAAAGTATATGTAATGGTCAGTGAGCTGCATTCTGAAATATTTTAAATTTATTATTATCCAGGCTTATATCTAGGGGGAAACTGAACAAATGTCTGAAACTGATTTTTTCTGTTCATTTTGTTCTTGAAAATCATCTGCCATAATTAAAATGTCAGGGATGGGTGTGGTTAACAGTTATAGTGGATACAATAAATTTGTAGATCTGATGACAGAAATGGCTGATTCTTTATTAATTAACATATTAATAAGACTCTCCTAAATATTTGATCTGTAGTTTGTTTTAGAATATTTATTTCTAATGCATACTAAAATTGATCTGTTGACTATGTTACTTGTTGATATAGAAGTCAAAGACATATTAACATGTTGAAATAAAATGTATAATTCTATCTTTAAACTTTTGTTTCCCTCTCTTTGAGTGTATATTGAGTGAGCACTTTGAGTTTATATTGAGTGAACATTTACAGTTATCTAGAAGTTTAGTTTTATTTTAATCATAATTTATTATTGATTTATTTTTGTATGTGTGTGTGTAGCTTGACCATTAAGGTAAGGGAGACAAGATACTGCCTTTGTGAATCCAGTTTTTCCTTTTCAAAGGAATAAAAACAATCATTTACTAAATTAAGAAGTAGAGATTATAAACAAGTGATTTTCAATAACTTTTTTATTTTAATTATTCATTTTAAGGTATCAACCGTGAATGGCAGATTTTTTCATTTAAAAATATGTATTTTGCTTTTGAGATCAAAAGACCAAAACTGATAGTTGGGACTCCATGTCTCCATTGTCTTCTAAAACACTTAGTTTTTCGTCGAGTTGAATAGATTCCAGCAGGCCATTGGTTGATGTTAGCTATGGTAATGTTAGGAAAATACTTTACATTCTTGCCAAAAGGTGGCGTGCGTAGGTGGACGCCAACTAAAATTTGCGACATGTAAATCCGACTTTGCCAAATAGTGCCTGCGATCCACAGATGTAACATTTCAGTTTACATATAATAATAACCGGCACACTATTTTAGTCTGATCGGCGCCTCTTCGTATTACGATTACTTAAAAAATACTGCAAACTGGCGGAAGTGAATATCGACCAATCAGAGGGGCCCTTACAAAAGAGTTTGAAATTGATTATTGGCAGGTGCGCTTGTGGAAGGTGTGTAAATCAACTGCAAGGTGAGCTAAATTGTTTGTTAAGCATCGAATATACCTTGTAAATTATGGTTAGCTGAAATTATATTAACCGTGACGTTGTACCGGTCTTAGATCGGCAGTAAAAGTTTTCAAGTTTGCATTTCAACAACATGTTGACGGGGGTTGTTGTTGTCACCATCATTCATATTCAGGAAGGTGGACACTTAATATATAGCCCTGTACCACCAAGTGAACATTATTGCCTGTGGCTTAGTATATAAACAAGCGCGTCTTCACTGCCTTTTAAAAAGCTTAGATCGGATTTGTCCTTATTTATTATTGCATTTTAATATCGAATATATAGTACAGCTGTACAGTAGTAGAGTTCTTTTTCAAACGCTACTTAATTGAAATCTACTAATGCATTTCGTGTGACACACCCCTGTGGTTTCTTGATGTCTTTGTGGGTTTTTACAGTTTATTAGTATGCACAGTACTTTTTTAAAAAAGTTATGTTAAGCAGTGCAGTGGCATTTTAGTGTGTAAAAGTTGTAAAAAGAATAATGCAAAGTTAGGGATTTAGTGCTCAATTTTGTATAGGGGTTACATGCTTCATTTTAATTGTCAAAATGTGACTTGTAATTGAGAGCAGATATTTGGTCTTAAGTTTATAATCAACATGTTGTAGTACACAAAATATGCTCACAACTAAGAAGTAGTATTAGAATGACAAAATGTTATAATGTGATACATGAATTGTATGCATATATCAATATACGGTTGTGTTGTCAGCATGAAGAAATTGTATGCATTGATCTGACAAATACATATTTGGAAGTGTTCTATAGTAACCTGAAATGTTAAAATTTTTTTACGATAGTTTCAATTCCCACCAAATAGTCATTAACACTCAAAGTATAATCCTCTAATATTTAACAGTGTCATTTCTTCTGAATCAACTACACTGTGAGTTCTGATGGATCACACTGCAATAACATGTAACTAAGCATTCTCTGGTCATAAAAGGCTTTCTTTTTCAGATTGAAGGTGTTTAGATGCAGAAAGATGCCGGGTGCTACCGCACAGTTGGGAGAAGCTGAAGGTAGGTGAATTATTAATATATTATGTTTTATTTGTTTATAATTTGGTTTATCTTGCAGGTCCAGCATTTTGCTAAGTATGTTAAATGGTCAGATTTTAGATTACACCATTTCCTGGTAATTTAGTTTGGTTGGGAACGAATGATAGAGAGAGGCATTGTGAGGAATTAAGAGAGAGCTGACAGAACAAAACCCATGCATTTAGAAAGGTTTTGGGGACATTGTTGTTAAAATCATTGAAATAAGCAAATTATAATAATTTTAAAATGACAAAACACCTAAAAAGACCTGTGAAGATACACAAGTATATACTGTACAGTAGCTAATTGGAAAATGAGTATAAATAACTGTTAGACAAATTATTTCTTAAATGATAAAATGATTCCATTTTATTCTGGAATTCTTTTTTAATATAGTTGCATCAAGAATCTGTGGTGGTGATAAATATGTTAATTTAGATATTTATATTCCTTTGATAGGGACTGGAATATTTGAACCCATCAACTGCATACTGTAGTTGCATGACTTCTCTTTTTAAGGCCTATCAGCATTTGGATGACATTCTCTCTGATTTTAAGTTTTAAGAGAACAGTTTATTTTATATGATCACTGTGACATTTGAAAATAAAACAAAGTATATGGAAAATGCATATATACAGTACTTTGTTGATTTTAAGATGAGTCATAGTCTTGGCCTATGTCTCTTGACTCAAGGTCAGGATGTTTTGAATTTATGACTGAATTTTTCTACTGTTGTTCAGGCAAAAATAGTTCCTTGTCTCTGTATTTGTCGTAAATGTTGTTCATAACTGTGATAGTTGCAACCTTGCAAGCTGTATTAGAATTACATACTGAAAATGCCTGCATGGTTTTCACATACTTTTATAGTGTTAGGATAGCTGTGGTGACTAAGGCTTTAACAACTCAGACTATGAGAAAAGTTTATGTTGCTGATTGCTCTTTTATGTCAAGTCGTCAGTTGATTCTCTTTTTTGTACAAGAGACATTTTCTCAACAAGCAATACCCAGATGTTTTATATGAAGATTGTCTTGGCTTTGCTAAGGTTACAAAAATATAAACCAAGGAAATTAGAGCTTGGGCACTGAATAATAATAGAGAGACATTGAAATGATAGAATGATTGATAATATCATTATGGTTCAATTAAAGTCAACATATTGAATTATTCAAAACAAATTGAAGTATCATTACAAGTATTTTGCATACATGGTACAAAATGCATCATAATAGAATAAAAACCACTCATACCTTTCTCTTTGAAGTGAATTAAGCAAACGAAAGTAATGAGCTCATTCAAAAGAACCTAGTTCCAAATCAGCATTAAGAGATTGAGCTTTTCTCTCACTGCACATTATTATGAGGTTTTCATGTTCACAGTGTATACAAGGATTACTTCATTACTATCTTTTTCCCATAAGTTAAATGTAATTTAAAATGGATGAAACCTAATATTTATTTCCCTAAAAAGAAACAACTGAAGCTATTATAGTCGCTGGTAATTGTAGTTTTAAGGGAAGTACTCCATGAATGTAAGTCAACAGTATGGGCGAATTTGTTCAAAATGTCTGTCAACATGCATTACTTTTGTTAAATAAAAACTAGACAGTGCAAATTGCAAGCTTTGTTGTGCAGTTGGATAACTAGTAATTTCATGCCCATATAGACTGTATTTGATACTAGCTAATAAAGTTACTGCTTGATTTGAACCATACCTTGGCCATTTATTTGATTAATATCAACCCTCGAGATAAAAGCCATATGAAATGTGTAGTGGTATTAAATATTGCCTAATTAGCCGTCATGATTTGCATAGGAGAAAGGTTACTTAGACTCACTCTGGGGTAGTGCTAACACTCGCCACTTTTGCCAAATGCTAAATTTGACTTAAATTGGCTAAACAAAAATGACTTGATTTGACTTGTTTTAGTCAAATTATAACCATTTGGATAACAAATTGACAAAAAAGTGGTGATTTTGGCTAAAAGAAAAAAATTGCTTACGCTACCCCAGTCACTGATGCATACTAGGTAGACTATGGCCACATTCAGAACAGTGGACTAACTAGTCCAAGGGTCAAATATGGCCAACCCACTTGCATACTTCCCTACTGGGAATCCATTCGGTGTCTGTTAGCGGATTAGATGGCAAGTTTTTTAGTGGGTCGCCATATTTGACCCTCGGACTAGTTTGTCCACTGTTTTGAATGTGATCTATCTAGCTTAAATTGATTCATTGGAACTTACAATTCAATTTTTAGAAGTTTTTATTGTAGAACCTTACTGTCTTTTTAAAACTTTCTTTTATGAGTAGCCTGTTTCTTGTTTCAGCTGCTTTTGAGACAGTAAAGAATGAAATTGAAAAAAATGGCAACAGATTTGAGAAAGCTGGAGCTTCTGATGTGGATGTGGCTTTCCTGAAGGAACTTTTGGACAACAATGTCATTAATTCCTTGGTCAAGGTATGGAAAGGCAGTTGACAGAGCAAACACACAATTTTTTTTTAAGAAGTTGAACAGGTTTTTGTCTGTGATGTATGAATACTAAATGAATTAGCTATTGATTACTAGTATATACCTGGTCTTTTCTTTGTTCGTATGCTTCTTTATAATTTTACCTAGAGTTTTTTTTTTTTTGTTTTTTTTTTCTTTTTTTGCGGTAAGCAAAAAATCGTTGTCAGGTGTTTGTGGTAAACACTTCATAGATGGATAAGGTTTACAGTTGGCCTACATATTCTACTTCCTCACCAGAACAATAAAGCAAACCTTTGCAGTCACCTTATTTGCCCTTTATTTCAACAATAAAGCATGGTTGTAAATTAACTTATCCTGGACCCCTCATAGAATACAAACCCAAAAAGTCAACAAAACTGCATTATTTGTAAATTCAAGGTACATTTTCAGTCATCATCAAAACAATTCTATTTGGTCTTTAGAAAATGTGTCCATGGTTCCCTACAGACATTAGGGCATAAATATCTTGTAATGTAAATTAACTGCCACTGGTGATATACTCTTTCCAGGTTGTGAGAGATAAATAAACTGTAATTACGTGGTATATATTTTTTTGCCAACTGACATTTCAGTAGGATATTTTTCTCCTCTGGATCTCTTTTTTGCATTAACCTACAAATAACATTTTATCTGATAAACTTCTAAGGTCACTATAACTGAGGTGTTGTTTGAGTTTTCTTGCCTGTGATCTTAATGCATTTTGGCTTTATTTTTTCAAATTAGTTTAATACTTTCTGACCTTTAAAGTGAAATTCACTTGTCATGATGTAGCCCTGATGTCTAACAAAAATACCAGTCAGGCTCAAAAATGTGTTCGATTGGAATATTTTCTCAAAGTTTTTTTTTTTTTGTACAGAACTCTATTTTAAATACATGGAGACATGTTTTTTAATCTTTTATTTTTTCTTGAAGTTAAAGCCTGCAAGATTTAATAATTGATTGATTAATTGGTTAGGCCTGTGATAATTAATTATAGAAAATGAAAATTGAGCTGCCTTGTTGGAGGACTGGGCTCTTTTTATTGGTGTCGCACATAGAACATTTTATGCCATGTTCAAATCATTTTGATATATTTGATTTGTTTTAACTGAAATACACCATTCAGGTCCAAGATTCTTTGGAGTATGAGCAACCCATTCCAGCCCACCACGACACTATAGCTTTGGTGAAGGGTGTGAACGAAGAGTTGACGGAAGGAACGTCCCGAGACGCGGAGGAGTTACAGGCCATCTTGTCCAAACCACACGTCAGAGTGAGTATATGTAGTAGTATAGTTGCCTATGTGACAAGACCGGTAATTTTTCCCATAGTTTTGTCCACAGTTTTTGAATAAATTGCAAATTTGCTAATTTATGTGACTAAATTATATATTGTGTGGCTATTATTAAAATGGTGAGTTGTACTCTTAAAGTTGAAGTTTTTTATTTATTTATTTTTCTTTTTGCCTCATCCCAGAAACACTTAGGTCAGTTATTGCATTGAAACATATTATGTTTTTACTAAACCCAAATAGCTAGTATAATGCCAGATTTTCACATTTAAGACATATTGGTATATCTTTAAGTGGGATAACTTATTTCATATCACTGTTTAAAAAATGCTTACCTTTAGGCTAACTGCAGATCTGTTGGCATATACAATATAGATACTGTCTTAAAGTAAATTCTCTGACATAGAACAAGTTTAAAGTGAAGCTTCAATGCAAACAACATGAAGTGAAAACTCATATTGTGCATGTTTTGACAAAGCAAAATATCTGAATGTGAAAATGTCATCCTCCTATAAATATGAATGGAATAGCATAGACTTTTATTTAACAGTAATGGGTTGACCATTTCAACCAGGAAAATTGTGAATTTTACAGATACTCAATTTTTAAGTAAAAAATTCTTGAAATTAGAACATCCCTATTGAGTGTTAGCAACACAATTGGAAAATAGACTACCTAATAAATGTATTTTAGTCAGTAAAAGCACTAAAATGTATTTTTAATGATTCCAAAATTATGTATCTAAATAATTAATAATTTTCCCAGTTGAAATGAACAAGCCATTATAGGCTGTATATAATGATATGCTTAGTTTAGCACATGCACTAAGTGAAGCCTACAGTACTGTTTACAAAATGAATAAATAATACCAAATAAATCTGCTATTGATTATACATCTGTTTTTTTTTTCTTTGCTTGTGAGCATTTTCATATTTCTACCCAGAGCCCTACTAGTAATTGTTTTTTTTTATTTATTTATTTAAAGTAGTAAGCAAAAAATAATTGTCAAGTACTAGTAAATCAAAAAAAAAATCATAAGTTAAAAATGAAAATGAAAAATGAGATCCCCCCTGGCTGATTTTTAAAGGTTACAGTGGAGAACAAATTGCATCTCATCTCCTGTCTCTCCAGAATTACCCGGTTCACGAATGATCTCATGACTGTAAATACTGATCCAGATTGTATTCCCACAGTATGATACAATGTCAACAAGAGTATCATGATGCTTAAACAGGTCTTCCTTGTCATTGTGACCAGGTATCAATATCTTGATGACTTGATCTATCTTCTTTATTGTGCATCCTGAGGAGCATCTGGCTAGATCAGTTTTCCCATTTTCTCGAAAGGTTAGATAGATCTTAATTTCATTTGTATTGCCTGCTCTTCTGTCTGGGTGTGAAATCAATTCTTGCTCAAGCCTTCAAAATTGTTGTATGTGAATTTATGTGAAAAGATGTAGTGAGCTTTTCAGTTGGAGTCAGACTCAAAGATTAATAAAAATGAACCAGAATTTTGCCTTGCTGTAATGTGTTCAAAAATTCACCATGCTAGGAAAAATATTTCTTAATGTTTTGCCCACATGTTGTTGTAACCTTTACATTTTGCATTCAATATGTTATGAAAACCTTCAACCTTACCAATTGCATTTGGTAAGGTCTTTATAAGTGTGAAAAAGTAAAGAGATATGGTTGCTGAAAAACAAAGCAGTTCTAGTAATGAGAAATGAGGTCTTAAGAAAAAGACATTTGACATTTGATAAAAAGCACCAATATATTTATTTCCTTTGGGTGAAGTGTATCTTTAAAATTGAAGTTTTGATTTATAGTTCTGAAACTTGATAAGACTTCTTTATAAAAAAGGAAAGAATTCTGAAGGTTGTTGTTTAAGTAATGTGTTTTAGTGTACAGTATTAATCAGGGTAACCTTTCAGAGTAATCCTTTTCGTGCATTAAGAGCAGCAACAACCCCAGGCTGGTGTCATGAATGACATGTCTAACATATTGATTGCTGCCAGCTGAAGTACGATCTTCCAAACAAGGGAAGTGTCAGAGAGAGACATAATATCACAAGTATTCGTTTTGGACAAAAAAAAAGCTTTTTCTGGTCTGCATGAGTGTGAAAGTTGGCATACTTCAAGTAGACTTTTTATCGTTCATCATCGCACATTTTGATAATGACATCTGAAAACTAACACATAGTTTCCCTTTGGTAGCACCTCTAGACCCCCCCCCCCCCCCCCCCCCTCAATATTAAAATCCAGGATTTGCCTCTGAGAAACAATATCCATAACTTCTGAAGCCTTCTGGTTTATGTAACTATGTATTGATCAGCATGAATCTTTGGGGAAAAATAGTGTGCTATGCAAGATTGTATTTGACCATTTCACTACATTTAATATCATAAGACTGAGTAAATTCTCAAAATTTAACATGATCACAGTTATGACCACTTTGACTTACAGCTTGATTTAATTCTAGTATTATACATGTTATCACAATAATTATAATCATCTCTCTTCCTCCATCCATCTCTCTCTCTTTCTCTCTCTCTCTCTCTCTCTCATACACTTACACACGTTATTTAGCTTGACGTATATCTTTGTAGGCACTGGTTGTTGCTCATGATGATGTTGCCAACAAGAACTACGAGGAGCCAGATGTTTACTACAGCGATGAAGAATCTGCTTCAAATTATGATGCTGGTGAAATTTCTGGAGATTCCGCCATCAGAGTTGTGGGTATACGGAAAACAGATGATGAACCATTGGTAGGTCTGATTCAAAATGTGGCTGTGTTATGAAATATGTCTTGTCTTATATGATTTGATGTAATCATAAGATTATAAATAGAAGGAAATGATTGCTGTGAAGTGGTTAGATTTCCTCTGGAATGTTCATATTGCTGGGCTTTGCAAATATAGCATATTAAATTCAAAATGAAGCTTTTTGCTATCATAATATTCAACTGATAGAAATTGTTAAGTCAAAACACCTTTCCGTGCTATGTCATTTCATCATACATAGTCTGATTTTCTCATTTGGTTATAAATCATAGCTTTTAAATTGAAAAACCCATGCAGCATGATTGGCTTGGGGACATTACTTGAAATGTAATTGATGCTGAATTTAATTGAAAGTGATCTGTTTTCTTTTTAACTAGGGAATAACAGTGGTCAGGGAAGAAAATGACCTGGTGATTGCAAGAATATTAGCTGGAAGCATCATTGATAAACAAGGTAATGAGTGCTATGATTGTCAGTGCGTGTATTACCACATTCAGAACAGGTCTGTGGATTAATAGAGGTTGTCCGGGTTCTCAACGAGAAGACCATATTTCCCCGTGATTTTACGAGATCTGCCTTGAGGTGGGGTTAAAATATGGAGACCACAAGGAAGTAGAGCAGCGATTTCTTTACTTGAAAAATAGCTGAACTTCTAAAATTTTTGAGCTACAGGCTTGTTCTTTTTTCACTTTATAAAGAAAAAGTATTGATATAATATGTACGTACAACTGACTTGAGATTCATTTGCAACCTTTTTGTCACTTTATGGGAGTGGCATGACTGTTTTGCTTTCAATGAGATCAATGTTGAAAGTAGGTCCATGTACATTCTACAAGCATTGGACATTTGTAAATAAAATAATCCAGTGCTGTCAAGGGCTTAATTGCTTCATTTTTAGGTTATCATAATTACTAAATTTAAATTTTGATTTGATTTTAATTTATAGTAACTAGTTCAAAAAGCTCAAATTTGATCATAAAGTTAATTTTCTTCATTTATTTTCTTATGAAAATGATGCTATAGAAACTAGTGGATAGCATTCACAAAATGTAAGTTTTATTGTGATCAGATCTGACTTAAATGACAGGAAAGATGGCAAAAGAAAGTATTAAAATGGACAATATATAAGTTGAAATGTTCACAGAATCATTGCATTTTATTGACAGTTAAACACAAATACAACAAATAAACACAACATCAAAGGCGAACTTGGATTTGTGATCCGAGTAAATGATATGAAAAACAGGTGTCATATAGTTATTAAAAAAGTCACTACAGTAACATAAAAATGATACTAGCAAGAAAAATTATTTTCTTCATTAAATTGCTAGTGCAGTACAATACATAGGCATATATATTTGGGGGGTTCGAAAGAACCACCCTTTTTGCTGGGAAAAGATCCACTCTGGGTACAATTTGATCTATGTACTTGAGGATTTTATGGTAAAAGGTCCACTTTTTCAGAAAACGACCCCCCCCCTCTAAAATTGCTGGCCACGGGCCTGGTTACCGTAAAAGACTATTAATCACAAGTACTAGGGCTGTATTACGTGGTGTTCTGTAAACTACACACACAAAACTTACTTATTAATATGTCCCTCGACCGTTGATGATACGGTCTATACGGTGATGCCATGAAGCCAGTGACGTGTCGGGTGCTAGTTGTCTGTAGTTGGTCCCTTTCTTCCTACAAAATACTGCGACCTGATCTGTACTTTAAATATGTCGGCACTTAGTCCTTTTAATCTGTTCAAGCCCAACTACTTCTCTTTCTTTACTTCACTTCTCTCGCCAGTCGTGTCTGTCATCCATGGTCATTTTCCTGGTTTTCTCGGTTAGGTTTTACTGCAATGCACCCTACGACACAACATTAGCAATTCGCCAGTGCGTTGCTCTATCTCAAATTACATGACAACGCCAAAATTTACTCAATGCAATCCTATAACATAGACTTGTGCACAACCGCGAGAGAAGTTTCAATGGCAGATTTTAACCCCACCTCTCGTGAAATCTCGCTCCAATCCAGGTCTCGTTTGACGTCATCTGCTGTGCAGATGTTCAAAAAAGGCTATCTCGGATGTTCCCTATTATGGCCGACCCACTTGAATGCTTGTTGCATAATCCCTGCTGGGAATGTATTCAGTGTCTAATCAGGAATTAAGTGGCAAGCTTTTAAACAGGTCACTATATTTGATCTGTGGATCTATTAGTCAGCCGTTCTGAATGCGCTCTCTTTCTCTCTGTCTGTGGAGGGGATTGTGTTTTCATGGGCACTGGCTCTTTTATGGGAAAGGGATCTGGAGAAGATATTTACAAATATTTGTAGAATTAATATTATATTTTTATAGATATATTAGGATAAACAGTTATTTAAGAGGGAATGAATTGATTGCAGTGCCAACTGCATCCAGGAATCATATTATTTTGAAAGAGTTTTATTACCTTTTTTCCTGCAAGTTGGTAGAGATTTGCACTTTTAGTAATTCTTGCTGTGATCTAGATCTACAATATGTACGTGTTTTGATAATGCTTGTTTATGTCATGCATATAATTTGTATGGAATGGAAATCAAATTTAGTTATTAAAGTCAGTTATCAATGTCTCCAATGTAAGCAGTGACCTCAGTTTTTTTATACTCTGGCAAAACTGAAAGCACTAAACCTTGCCCTCACATGTTACACATTTCAGTGCACTGCTCTCAAAAATAACAATAAAGATAATGATATTTAAAGTCTAAAATTCAAATTTGTATACACTTAACAATGTAAAACTCAAGAAAATTTATTTTAAAAAAATGATTTGTTTTATGTAGAATTTAAGTCATCTGTTCCCTAATAACATAATAAAAGTCCACTAAAGCCTTATAAGAAACACATCAATAATTACATATTTTTACATCATTCCCAGGCTTACTCCATGTTGGTGATGTGATCAAGGAAGTGAATGGAGTGGTTGTGGAGTCTCCTGAACAGCTGGCACACATCATGAGGAACACCCTGGGCAGTGTCACCTTCAAGGTTCTGCCTAGTTACCTAGAAAATGCTCCAGTACACCAGGTTAGTATATGTCCGAGGGTGTGGAGTGTGACAAACTCTTTGAACAAGTTTTATTATTGATTTAAAAGAAGCATTGCTATGATGGAATTGATTGAAATACAACAATAAAAACCTAAAACCCTTTGTTAATAATTAATTAATTAATTAATCTCTGATTAATTGATGAATTAATTTCAAAGAAGCATTGCCATGATCAAATTGATAAAAATACAGCAATAAAATCCTTTGATAAGAAGTGGATAGTTTTGGCCATTTTCTACAACATATCGTAATGTTGTTAGGAAAAAAATCATAAAGGATAATTCCATGACTGATTGTTTGACTGTGATTTTAGTTTTGCTTTAACTTGCAAGGCCAATTTAAGATTTGATATGATCTCAGATTGAATGTTATTTCTAACTTGTGAGCAACCTAAATAAAGTTGATAAGTATCACATGTGAACACTTAAACTGTTTGAAAACTTCTTTTAAATCTGATTCGATTTTTTTAAAGTGATTTTTGTCTAATTTCAATTTTTCTTAGATCATATATTGGATTCATTTCCATACCATATATCATAAATATACCTATCCTTATATATTTTAGAATATTAATGATGACAAAGTCTGCTTTGTTTGACACCTGTCCCTTCGACCCAACGAAATGCCTGTTCCACCAATCCTCTTTTATTCACCCAAAAATTATATTCCAGGTATATATGAAAGCCCTGTTCTCCTGGAATCCAGCTAAAGATAATCTCATCCCCACCAAAGATGCTGGCCTGCAGTTCAGGTTTGGGGACATTCTCCAGGTTCTGAGTACAGATGATGACAACTGGTGGCAGGTAAATTATTTAATTCTTAAAAATCACCTTCAGTGAGTGAATGGGCTAAATGGAGCAGACATTTTGCGTTAAGTTATGCATAGAGCAAAAATAATGGATTTTCTATAAGGCATACAAACCACTTCTATTTGTTTCTTACATGACTCAATTGAAGTTGATATTCTTAGGGATGAACCAAATTAATCCCTGAGTAAGCCAAAAAATGGCTTTAAAACTACAGCTTCTTTAAATTTCCTTTTAGTCATAAAAGTCCGTTAAATGAAGTAGAAATGTACGACCCATTACTGCTGCTTGTGCAAAAGCATAATTATTCAAGTGAGCTTTGGTGAAAACTACCAAGTGTTACATATACAGTCTGTGCCAAATAATTTTCATTTTCCAGGCCATCCTGGCCGCTAGGGTCTGAGAGTTACTGGCCAGAACCAGAATTCTTAGACCCAGTCTGATTAAATAGATTGAAATATAGCAATATCAATACAGCAACAGCAATATCAATATTAAAATACAGCAATATTAATTAAAATGTTAATTAAAATTTTTTTTCAATTAACACTGAGATTAAACAGGCTTTCTATTATAAATACATGCAACAACCAAAATTTGGATTTTCAAAAGGTTATTTAAAAAAAGACTTCAATATTTAGCCTGAACGTTTATAAAATGAATTGGAGAATGTGTTACAGCTGAAAAATCCACTGGCCCAGTCGGGCCTGTGACTGACTGTTTTTCAGAATTTTCACCAGCCTGGTCCAATTTGTATTGACATTGGCAGTTAGGCCAGTGGTTTATGTGATGGACTGTATATAGCACAGAGAGAGTCTAAAAACTTTGCTCAAATATCACTTTTTGGGAAATATGAAACATTTACCTTTGGCTAAATATCACTTTTTGGGAAATATGAAACATTTACCTTTGGCTAAATATCACTTTTTGGGAAATATGAAACATTTACCTTTGGCTAAATATCACTTTTTGGGAAATATGAAACATTTACCTTTGGTTAAATATCACATTATGGGAAATATGAAACATTACTCTTTGGTTTTTCCTGAAGTTATGCTATTTGAAAAATGTAGCAGCATTTGGTTGGGTTTATTTGCAAAGATTTGGCTTCATATGTAACTTATGTCACAATACATTCATGTTAAAAGAATTATTAATTGTGAAAACAGTTTCAGTTAATTATAAGATTATGAATATTCAGATTTCAAGACAATATAATGATGAATTAAGGAAACAGTTGAAGGTAATCATAGTAGCTTTCAAAAAATTGTATTTTCATGTCAAAAGAATGAGTTTTCATAAGTGTTTGGCAAAAGTAAAAGTAGCAAATTTATGTTTTTAACTTTTTTTTTTCAGGCTAAGAAATTGGATGAAGAAGCCACAGGTTTGGTTCCCTCCACATCACTGGAAGAGAAAAGGAAAGCTTTTGTTCGTCCTGACCACGATTATACACACAAGTCTTGTGAGTTGCACCTCGTTCATATCTTAACGAAGAATTTATTATTGTAGTTTTCAGTTTTTAAGCCCCCAAAATATATCCCAATGCAAAAAAAATTACATTATATGACATTATTTTTTATTTGATAAAATGAGTATTTGGTTGTATCAGTTTTGTTGCTAATAATGAAATTATGAAACCATTAGCATAATAATTGTTTTTTCACCAAACATCTATGCCTTGAATTTCACATTGATATTTTGCTTTTAATTTTTGGAGTCAAAGAAGCTTAAATCTTTGCATGACATTTTAGCCACAGTGAAAAGTTAATTGATATCAGTTTTCTGTATTTCCTGCCACCTGTAAAGGGCTATGTGGTTTAGCCAAAACAAAGAATAAGAGAAAAATAATGTATGATCCGAAACACAGTAGTGGTAAGTTGGGTGCATGTTATGCCTTCCTGGCAGGCATATCACAAAAATACCCTCATGTTGTATGTGTTGTGCTTTCATTGTCAGTAGGGGGAAAAACAAATGTGAGATTTCATTGATTGCTATACACTGGGCCCCAGCTGTGCACTACTGAATGCAAACAGTATACTGAGCAAAATCAATGTGTACAGTGATCACTCACTATGTGGTATGTTGATATGTAATATATAGGTTGCATGAAGGCACCTTGCATGTGAAGAATGCAACTCACTGTTTCCCTAACAATTATCACTTAGAGTATGTCCATTAGATACACGCAACTGGGCATTGAAACCAATAAAAATGCACATCTTTCTTGATGCGGCTTCTTTAAGAAGATGCATTTTATGTGAAATGTCTCAGAAACTGAGCACTAATTTAGTTCAGATTTATCATGATCAGGTTTTCAAATTTCATAAAAATGAGCTGCATTTTCACTCAGCGTCTGCCTTCCTGCAAAGCATTCTGTGGTCTTTCCCTTCAGTGGGCATGCTTCTTGATCGAAGGTATTAAATGTTGTCACGTGTAGTCTTAGCATTCTTTAGTTTGCTTGCTGATTTCTAGGGCTTTGTGGACTCACCTTCACCACCAAAAAGAAAAAGGTGTTGTACCAGTCTTCACAAGCAAGTGGTATGTAATATCGTGAAACTATCTCTTTTTAATTAGTAACTGTATTCTTCTGGTTATATGTAGTGTTTTATTTTAAGTGTATTCAAAATGCATTTTGTCATTTTTTTTAAACATGCCTTTGGCATACACTATTTCTAATGTTGTTGTTTTTAATAATGTATGAAAATAATTGCTGTAGTGCTTTGCGACATTATTTGGTAATTTGAATTTCCCCCCATGGAGAGGAATTTTACAAAATTGGTGGATTTTTTTTTTTTTTAAAGCAATGGTTATGATCTATGAGGGTTAGGGACTATTTACTCTTTGTATTTGTTCACCTAGCAATATATTGATACAATGATTGTGCCTCTTGCACCAATGTTGCACCACATTGTTTTGTCACCTTCATAGTCACAGCAAGCACAATCAGCCAGCACTTTGTACTCTCTTTTAAATGTATGATTGTGTCAAAAACAGGGAAAAAAAGGGGGGGGGGGAATGCAGTTTTGTTTTAGTTTTATTATCAATATCTAAGTTAATTTTTAATAATTTGACGGATTACTATGATTTTAGTATGACACTTTTGATTTGCATTTTGTTGTACTTAATCTAGATGCTATTGTGGTATAACAAAATGTATCCAATTTTCATGCATTTTACAGATTGCATCAGTGAAACTAGATCTGTGTTTAATTACTGTTCATTAGATTTCATAAAGTCAAATTCTTGTTGTAGAGCTGGACACTGCAGACATTCCTATATATGAAGAGATCGTGAGGATGCCTCCCTTCCCGCGTAAGTGCCTGATCTTGGTGGGAGCCCAAGGAGTTGGAAGAAGAACATTAAAAAACAGACTGATGAATACAGATCCAAATAGATTCGGCTCCACTATTCCACGTAAGTTTTATTTACTCGTACCATTTTACGTACTGCGTAATTCATTTATTTAGATGCTATGAATTAAACAAGTTAAGAAAGAAAAATATGTGACATGGTAAGGATTATTCTATTTAAATAACATTTGTTCCTGGATAATTATTTTGTTCTCACTTTATGGAAGGACATGCATGGATCTTTTATCATTCACTGCAGTGTGCTGATAAGTGGAAGAGTATGGAGCTTTTCTGTCTGTTACACTAAATATCAAAATAAATTTGTCAACTCTATGTTAGGGACATTGTGCAGCATGCATTTTTTTAATGAACTAACTTCTTATAAAATTTTGCAACTGTATTTAAAAAAATAATTTTTTTAACAGACACCTCCAGACCTCCAAGAGATGGAGAAGAAAATGGCCGCAATTACTACTTTGTGACGCGAGAGGCCATGGAACTAGACATACAGCAGGGAAAATATCTAGAACATGGCGACTACGGCGGCAACCTCTATGGGACCAAGCTGGAGTCCATTCGCACAGTACTTAGACAGGGCAAGATGTGCATATTAGACATTGCTCCAAATGTGGGTATATTTCCTTTTTCAAGATGTGTTGAATTGTTGTGATTGAAGTACAGTCATTTGAGTGACATCATACTGTGTGTGTGTGAGTGTGTGTGTGTGTGTGTGTGTGTGTGTGTGTGTGTGTGTGCATGCGTGCGTGTGTGCGTGCGTGTGTGTGTGAGAGAGAGAGTGGAATATTTTCAACATTAAAATCACATGTAGTATCTAGGACAATCTCTTATAGCTGCCATTTTTAACATTATCCAACATTGTTACATTAGAAAAACATTTTGCATCAATGTTTGGCAAGTTTTTCTTTCAACATCAGTCAATCAATCTCTGATTTATTGAAATTTTCATCATTTCAGGCTGTGAAGTTAATAAGAACACAAGAATTCATGCCATTCGTGGTTTTCATTGCTGCCCCCTCAGTGGCAGTGTTACGTAATATGCTAGAGAAGTCCAAGATGGAAAGAATGGGGAGAGATATGACAGTGAGTATGAATTACATCAAAAAAGGACATAATAATAAGCATAGTTTCCTTTTCCTTCCCCACCACCACCCACCAACCACTACCCCCACCCCCACCACTCACCACCACCACCACCCACCAACCACTACCCCCACCCCCACCCCACCACTACTCACACCACTGGTGAGCAAATATAGAGATGTACAGGGCTAAAGCTGGTCCAGTCATATATTATATACAGAGTATATTGCAATGGTTTGATAGAGTACCACACTGCACATCTTATTAGATACTTGTAGAAAAGGCATAGTTGTAATATATTCAGGCCCGTGGCTAGCAGTTGCAAAACGGGGGGTTCTTTTTCTGAAAATGTGGACCTTTTGTCTTGAAACCTTAGTTTACCAGGATCAAATTTACCCAAAGTGGACCTTTTCCCAACAAAAAAGGGGTTCCTTTGCCCCCCCCTCCTCCTCCTCCTTAAAAAAAAACTCTCCCCCTTGCTTGGCTACAGGCCTGATATTCATCATGTAAAGATCACAAGAGTATTGCCCACATATTTTGGTACGTAATGACAATCCTGGATCTCCATTTTAGGTACTACTACATGGCTGAAAACCTCAATCAAGAACATGGTCATTTTTTGTCTTAATTTTAACTTCATTTGCCCCTCACCACTGCCATTAAAAAGATCCTTCCTCACCTGTTAAAAAATGTTGAGGTTATCCCATTTATAAAGAATTATTAATTTAGCACTTTGAATGCTTGTTATTTATAATGGATTTGTAAACGTATTAGATCAACTTTTAATGCCAGCTTAATTGTTTGTGTATTGTATACTTTGACCAGATATATGGATTTATATTGCTTGTCTCTATTGTCATATTAAGCTGCACTCTGACAACGACTTGGGCTGGATGAGGTCAGAATTGCCCACAGTAATTTAGTGGTGTTGCCATTTAGACCAAAACCCAGTCCATGTCTGGTGTGTGTCTGACTGCATCTATATTGTAATATGCATTGTGTCAACATGCTTGATATGTGCAAAGAGAGCATTCACATCAAGAAGAGAGACAATTAAAGGGTCATCCTTTCATGTAGGCCCGCCGTATTTAGGTCTCGGCCTTGCTAGACCTCAGCTCTTCTCGATGTGAATGCTCCCAAAGTCTTCTCATTATGTTCACTGCATGATCATGTCACATTGCATGAGCATTTAGCATGATATCCCCAACATTTCAGTTTGATCGTGCCAGAAATAGGGGTGCTCCTAGTGTGACTACTCTGGATTTCCACTCGGTAAGTATTTGCATCTCGGGGAAATATGTTGAAGCAAATTGTAATATGCTTCTGAAAATGTATCAAAATTTTGGTTTTTATGCTGGTGGCCTGTGCTTTTCAATAGATACATTCTTTGTATCTTGTGTATTTTTTGTTTTTATTTTGTAAATGTTCACATTTTTTAAGAGCATGTTCACTTTAATTTAAATTTTCATTAATGTTAATACTATTTTTATTAATGTTATAACTGTATTCCAGTTCTTTGGGTTGTGTGCAAGAATGGATCCAGGCTATAAGAGATATATTTGTTGGTCTTCAGTTGCATAGGCATACATGTCTGCTTCTTGATCAGCTCAAAATTTTGATCATTGCTTTTCATTTACATTTAAAGCAGAAAAAAAACAACAAAATAATGATCATTCATTTTTTTTATATTTGATAAGGATTGATGTGATCCTGGTTTCCAAATAAGAGAAAAATAGAAATGAAAACTCTTCTCTTTCATATATGTCTAATGACACGGCATTGATTGCAAATTTCTAAATCTTCTCTTGTAGGAGGCCGACTTCAAGAGAACTGTAGACGAAAGCATCCGCATCGAGCGCAGCTACAGGCACCTGTTTGACCACTTCATCATCAATGACAACATGGACAAAGCATACGAGGAACTCCTGGAAGCAATCGATGACCTGACCAGTAAGCCGCAGTGGGTACCCGTCTCCTGGGTGTACAACTAAACAACTCGCGTACCAAGACCCTGCTGGCAGTGCTGACGGCAGAGAAGAGATCTCACAAGAATACCTTAACTTTTTTTATGATAATTATAGAAAAAAGTAAAATGCCTTATTTTGAAAGGAGTTTCATTATGATGCTTTTTTTCACTCTGGATATTATGATTGAATTGACTTGTTTTTACAAACTGCAATACTATTTTATGAAGAATTTGGTTACTTAACACGGGAACTGATGTCCCCCTTTTTAAAACCTGTGGTAATATAGGGGTTATGGCTAGGTTGAACTGGGTATTTTGAAGAGGTTATGTTTTTTGCTTTATTAAATAAAACCTGTTCTTCATAAGCTTTTAATTTTTGAACAGTGCCATTACTTTTTTCTTCAAAAATCTATATTGCCAATATGCAAAACAGGTTGGATATGGTACAGTCGAAAGATTCATAAATGTCAATGTTAGATTTCCACACACCATCTCTTTATGTCACTTTATATGAACCTGTAAGTATGCATAGTTGAGGCTTTTCCTTTTGATGTTACCTAAATTTCAGGCATTACTCCAGACACGAATATGTCTTTATTTCAATTGTCTTGAACTTGAATCTGCACAAGAAATATCATTTTAAAATGCTGTGTAGTTCTCCAATCCAAAAGACTCAAGTTCCTAAATAAAGCATGACATATGTTTAGAGGATGTAACCTCATTTAACAAGCAGATTTTTTTCTGCTTTATCAGTTTGTGAATCTGACAAGTTACTCAAAAGAAAATGAATCTTCCCCCCAAAAAATTGTTCAGAAACATGAAAATAATCATAAAACAAAAGGCTATTAACTAACAGTGTCTACGGGACCAGTTTGACCACCTTAAAGGAGGTGTTAGTGGTATCTGTTAGTGGTATATTAAAAAGTGTTGACATAGTATCATAAAATGAGAAATTCATCACTATACAATGTGTTGACATAATATCATAAAATGAGATATTCATCAGTACACTATTTCTAACATTTTTGCCTTGAGAATTTGTTCCATGATCTGTATCGAGTTTGTTAATATGAAGTGAGGTATGGTAAATCTATGCACGTAACAGACCGTGACTTTATATACCAGTAATATTTGAAATGGTTGCAGTGATATTCCTGGTGGTGATGAAGGAACAATCAGAACTGTACTTGCCTACAACCAGAAATAGTCTTGTTGATGCCAGCAGACAAATTACCAACTTGAAATGGAAATAAAAACCCCAAAGCATGATGGGATAGCTATGGAGTCCTATATTGTGGTCCAATTTCATTTCAAATATTTCTTGTTTTGGTTGGTGTGGTTCTGAAAGTGCCTTCTAATGACCTTCCAATGAAGGGACCAAATAACTTTTTTTACAAGCGACTGAGTAGCTCTTTAAGTTATAGTGTAGGTACATTTGTACCCGTTAAATAGATTAAATTAAGGATGCCACATCCAGAAAATGATATATATTTATAACAATGCATAGAATGATGTTGGATCTATCAGTGGTGAACTAGTTATATGTAAGAAATTGTTTTTGCCGTTGCATGCAATTAAATCCCATCAAGCTTGTTAGATGTGCTAATTGGAGACTTATGGGTGGGGAAAATGTTTTGTAAAGTAGAATATGATATACATGTAGCTATACATTTGCTTTGTACAGTAATTTGTTGTAGACATAAGTGCATAACTTGTGTGTAAATATGATTTTTTTTTTTCAAATATATACTTGCTATATTGTGTAAGTGCATGTCAGTTAAGTGGTGGTTCTTTTGTTAAATAACTTAATTTTGATTAATGAAATTAAATGAATAATCTTCTTTAGATCATGTAATGACATAATATTCTTAGAAAAGAAAAAAGAAATGTGTGATTTGCTTGGTTTATGAAATATAAATATGGATTAATCTGTGAATTTTTGTGTCTTCAAGAGAACACACGATGTGTTGTGACAAAGAGATGAGAACTATATTTTATGAAAAATATTTGAATGATTTTGGATGACTTTTCACCGTTGCGTATATATAAATCACTCCCCATTCCTGTATTGTAATTACCCAGCGAGTAAAGTGGGTTGCATGGTGTACAAGTCACTTCTACGCTGCTGCTTTTTATAAGCTGTTAATGCAGTAGAAAGTCACGTACGTTGCACACGTTGCGCTGTCTTAATAAAAGTGAATTTCATACTCATTGTGTTGTCATCCTTCGAAAGCGCTATTTTTGTACCTTAGGTGAAAGACAAGGTTCTGTAGCTATGTAACAAGGTGCTGAAACATTCTAAGACTATTATGTCATCTCTCCAATAAGTCGCCCATCTCTTTCGACCATGGAAATGGATAATGCGATGAGTTCGGTTTTGTGCAACTCGGTTTTGCGCGCGTGCTGGCGTCTAAAGTTGCAGACCATATATAAGGGTATTGGTCCAATCAGCGTTGACAACAGCAAGGAAATGATACACGTACTATTAGCTAGCCGTTCAAAAAGTTCGACAGACTTAATGTGGTAGTAATTTAATACACATACTTATTTCTTTCTTTCTTTCTTGTTTTTTTTTTTTTTTTTCAATTCAACAGGCATCATGCCACGTCTTACTTTTCGAACCAGCTTTTAAATTTTGATTGGATGTAACTAAAGCACGTTTAAAATCCTCGATTTAATTACAATGTGATCACTAAATGGCACAAGAAAAAGCATCAAACCCGTGCCCGACAAACAAGTGTCGCCCTGTTGACCGATTTTTCACAGGTCACGTAGTTCAGTCTAGACCGACCTAAGTGTTATGTAAATGGGAAGGAGATAGATATCCGTACGTCCAGAGAGCCCAGTTAAAAAGTGTGGCCACATTTTACCACAAAGTACTTTTAATTCAATCTTTTCCTTCTTCGATTTGTGAAAAAAATTCTGAATAATGCAGTAAATGAACAATAAAAATAATCTGTTTTACCTTAGTTTAGCAGATGTGCCTTAATTAATATGCAGAACTGTTTTTCGAAAGATTTGCATGGAACAACAACATAATTCACCTGAAAGTCACCTCGCTCGTGGCAGGAAAAGCCTAATATATTTCATTGTACACCTATGCAAACCGTTCCAGTGAGAGCTCAAAGCCAGGCAAATAAAATTGCTTACTCAAACACAAAGACCGAGGTGGCCATGTTTTGGTATAATTATATATAGACTATCCTGATCCAGTTTCACTTTAAAATTCGGAAGAACGTTCATCACCTGCTCATCAAGGTGACTTAGAGCAAACAATTAAAAACCTAGCATAAAAGATGATCGCATCGTTTCTCATTTCCTATAGTGACAAATATCGTTTCCGGTCACTCCCCGGACTGCAGTCCACTTATTGTGACTACCTGTGAGAATACCAGGCCGTATTAATCATCACACCTGTATGACGTCACGGCGCTACTCACCTGGATTCGACCATTAAGTTAACTCTAACATTAAGCACTCAACGGTCGACCACGGAGGGTGCACTTGGTGGAGGTTTATACTGATAACTACCAAATCGTTTCCATTTCAGCCTGGATATAAGGATCAAGACTGCCATCAACATTTTGAAAATTAGTACAGGTGGTCCTACGCAGCGGAATGAGGACTTGATCTAAACAAATTTTGTTTGACTTTTTATATGTGTACAGTATATATATACTAGCACGTACTTGAGGTGCACTTCATCAACAATAGAAAGATGGACGTATCAATAGGTCAGGTCTTGAGAAGTCTTCCAGTCACATTGCTTTCGTGGATTGTCTTCATATCATATATTTCAGGTAGGTACACGAAATCACTGGTTATGGCCCGGATTTTTCAGTTACCTTTTCCATAAACTTCCAAAAGAGTGTGAAATTCTTGTTGGACAAGTGTTAAAGTAGGCCATGGGAATTTTTCCACTCGCGACAATGAAACAGTATTGTTCCAGTCACCTACATAAGAGACTACGAATGGGGAAGAGAAAATGGAGTTGATCTCAAGTGTGCGTATGTTTTAATATGCATAGGGCCCAATGATTTTACTACCAGGTATGGTCATGCGTTTGTGTGTGTGTGTGTGTGTGTGTGTGTGTGTGTGTGCATGTGTTTTGCGTATGAAAGCGAGGTGTGTTTGTTTATATGTTGAATAGACAAAATACCCCCCCCCTCTCTCTCTCTCTCTCTCTCTCTCTCTCTCTCTGTGTGTGTGTGTACTGTACGTGTGTGTGTGTCCCCGAGTCCCCCGAGTCACCAAATAGAACAACACCACCTTGATGTAAAGTGGGTCATTCGCGAAGCTCATATCAACTGCTTAGGTGCATCTAGATACCTTATCACAAGACTACCTGATATTAAAGCAAAGGGGGTCACCTTCATTTGTGTACAAACAATCAAAAACTGGGCCCCTCGGCTTTGATTGGATTCATTTTTGACTAAGCACGGATTACCTTCCCTCTACCATGCTGGCAAATATTATAGGGAAATTTTGAAAAATACAGAGAATGACATGACTGTCTATTTATTTTAAGACATATCTGTGAATATCTTGTGAAAAATCGATCTGTCGCCCTGGTAGGGGGCACAGACTACCTACCCTCGTACGAACAAGAACCCAACACCATAACGAAGTCATATGCTAGTATAATGTTGACGCATTGATTAAGTGCAAAATTATCCCTCAGTTATTCAATCATAGAACGATGGTTTTCTGAGACCAATTATCACCATATAGTATAAAGTGCTGTATATATCGAAAATTAAACCTCCACATGTAGCAATTATACTGACAACTTTAATCGTGCTCAAATGGCATATGCATTTCTTAATCATAGCACATTAATGCGATCAGTTGGTAATAGATAGAAATAACTTGATCAGTTGGTAATTGAAATAGATGCATTATGAGTACATTAATTGTCTCGTCTATTCGATGTTTATGTCTCGACTAAATCCCTTGTACTAATTTACCGTATAGGCCTACATGTATGTTATTCACATATAAGACTATTGGCTTTGTTGCCTTTACCGTTCCCATAATCGTTATATATAGTCTAAATAATGTCCGCCGATTCCAGTCGCAACGTTTATCAATATGACTCTTATTAACCTTAATAATTGGAAACCTAATGAACCCAAGATCATTACGTAAAACTTGAAGTTTGCTTTCAGTTATATCCCGGCTCTTCTTTCATTGTATCATACATTGGATTGGTACGAATATTGTGAATATCATAGCTCCAGGGTTAACCGATTTTACTGGCGTTTTTGCATAGCACTATATCATTATTATATAGGCACGTCGAGGTTCTCCTTTATAGCATATAGGAACTCAATGTAAATCAATGTCATGATGAACCAAAAAAAAAAAAAAAAAATTGAAACCAAGCCAGTATTTAACGAAAACCTGTTGGGGTGTTTCAAAATTTTTCTGTACCTTTTCAATCACTCCTGTGTTTTTCATTATTATATGTCGTTTTAAAAGTTTAAGATTTTCATGCCATATAATTACATACATTTTAATTATTCGAATTTTACGAAAATTATGTTATTGACCTTGAATTTAAAAATTGGAGCCCTGTATGTGACGTGCATGCTCAATTGTATTACCTAAAAATAACGCTTACCGGAGACACAATGCAAGTATCTCCAATTTATATTGTAGTGAGGGTTCAAGTTTAAGCGTCGAGGGTTTTTCCATGGAAATTTACACGCTGTTGGTGCTTCGAGTGTCATGACATTGACCTTGAGTTATTTAGATACTGCACTGATTTCCGTGCTGTATGTGCATACACGATCCTGTGCCTAAGAATTCTATTTGCATGTTCATATGAAGGTGCTTCGTAGCGTGTCTGGTCAGATTAATATTTTTCTTGTTAAATCGGTACTTTCATGCCAATTTTTGTATTATGAAAAGCGGACTAGTGGTAAAAATAGTTGGAACAACTTGGCATAATACTAGCGCATTTTAATATGAAACATGTCCTAGAGTTCTACAAACGTGTCCTTAATTGTTGCTTCTTTCACCCAAAAGATCGGAGTTATGCACGAAGTTTTTATCCAAAAATGGGTTGAACTGTTTAAATGGGGTCAGGGGAAGCATTTAACTTTGTCACCAGCTAGCAAACAAGAATAAATGTAGTAATGAAAGGACCCACGAGTATGAAGCAGATTAACAGTTTTTGAACCAAAGACTGACTTCATATAAAACACAAAGAAGCAAACACAATTCCTGTATTATCCACGTCTCGTGGCAATTTGCACCTGAGCCACCGTGGACATTATTAACCACGGACTCCTAAAAGGACGTTAATTGCCGTCGGTGTCTTCTTAGCTGAGCTAATTATTATTGTAATTGATCGCTTGCATACCTAATCTTTCCCCCATAAAACATACCCCGATATAAACTGACGGGATTGTCCGCTTGTTTCCAAAAACCAGCTTGGAATTAAGGTGTAAGTCAATATGAACTGAATGACTCACTCCTTAATTGAATGCTTCAATGTTCAAAGAGTTCATAGTGACAAAGGAAACCCCAACAAGGCCGTCTGCATACGGTAGACGGTGCGGTTGAAACGCGATATAACCCAAATGACAGTAAACAACGCATTGCCACATGAGGCCTGCTGTACTATATGTTATCAGGAAGTCATTTTGCTAAAACATCATTCCATTTTTTCCTTGTCATAACAATCTATTATGTCTTTGGTGATAGAGCTACGAACCGAAAGGATTGTTCACATTTACCAAACATTTTTCTTTTCTGCTATGAGGTGAATGTGATATACTCCCTCTTCTGGGACCGAGTTTTGTTTGCCATCTGTTTGACAGCTTCATGATTACATTTTAAACACCAAATCATTTGTTTGGTAAGTGTTTACTTAGGCGATCAGATCATGAATGACAACAAGTATATTAGCGTCCACCTGCATTTGAACTATCATATCCCCTACTCATTTCTATTAAGTTATATTTCTCATTTATTTGTTGTTGCATAAAATTGCAATAAATGACGCCATTTTGGCGCTGTGCTAATATTTTAAGTCAAAAACATAGCCTCGGGTGAACTAGCATTTTAGAACACAATTTAAACGTTTACCTTTTCTACCTCCATTCTTAATTATGGGATTTTGTTATGAACGTCGAAACCACATAAAGAGCACCGCTTTAATACCTGATCTTGTTTTAACATTAACTTTTTAATATAAATTGTTAAAACGAGGCGTTGGATGTAAGTGGTATCTGTAATTAGCGATTATCACCTCTTCATTTTGTTATCCATTTGCTATATTTTAAAATATTCTCGAAAAGGCGTTCATTATATTGTAAGGTTAGGTACACACACTGGACAATAGAAGTGTCACCCCTACTGAACCAATACTTTGGGGGAGATAAATGACTGTGGAATGATATGCTCCTGGTATCATTTTATTAACATCAATTTTCGCAAAAAGACCAACAACACAATTCCATGGTACAGCGGTTTTGTGCTCATTAGACACATTATAAGTAGACCAGGCAATATAACTTTGGTTACTCTGATTCAGGGAGTGACGCTTCTATTGTCCAGTGTGTGTATATTATATCAAACTCCCGGTAGCTTTTGCTAGCCATATTTGTATCTTTTATGGTTGCGTAGACCCTAAGCAAGGTCCTTTGCAATTGTAAACTGAAACTGGCTTCTGTTTACAAGTCATAATTTTTCATGTGTTTATTTTATTATTTTTACAGGTGTGTTGTGCACTCAAAGCTCCACCCTATGTCTACAATACTATGACCATGACGAGAACGTTGTGCCGAGGATTGACTGCCCTTCGTACTACAACGAAACGAAAAAGAGTTTTGACATTGAGGTCTGTTGTGGTGGCTGCTTTAGAAGATATTGCTGTAAGGAATTCAGCAAACAAGTAGACCAAGATAGCTGCAAAAACCACCTTAATCCAAAGTCTAATTAGTGAGTATAGTTTGTTTATTTCGCTACAAGTGGCACATGAGGTTGTATGATTGAGTGTTTTGAGACCGTCATTTACTTTGTTCAGTTTAAATATTCTAAGTTACCTAAAAAGAAAAAAATCATTTTCATATTTGTAATTCAAAGCATTTTTGTTTCTTTCTCATAATTTACTTTCGATCGTTGGTGTTTTAAGAAATAAAATTTTGAAATATCACTATTAAAGGTACATTTTTTTAATTACGTTAACTTTACATCATATAAAAAAGAACACATTTTATTTTGGAATATTACCAATTTGGCATACGTTTCTTTTCCAGCCTTCCAGTTGGACTCATCGTGGCCTGTCTAATAGGAGCCTTAGCGATGGTAGTCGGCTGTTTCCTTTTTGCGTCATTTTACGAAAGTTGTCTGTGCTTTAAAGGAAAAGGACTCAAAGAGAGGCGTATGCAACGCCCTCCCCCAGTGCACAAGAGGCGCAGAAAGTTAAGGGAGCTGCGATACGAGCGCCCCCCAGGACCAGACGTGACGATGCCTAGATATGCACTCCCTGCAATGCACCCGGATGTAGAGGCCAACCCTAACTCCGAACAGTGTTATAATCACAGCACAAATTTCCAGGAAACGGTTCCTCTGTTTCCACTCACGGATGTTTCTCCCTACAGCGAGACTATTGATAATGAACATAACGAAGTAGAAAAAGAGAAACATAAACCACGTATTAAGAAAACTAAAGAGCCTGACGACACGATACGTCTCACAGAACTGCCAGACGACACCCATGACGGACGTAATGATGAACCAGACCATTCTGGCGTGGTTCCAAGAGGCAGGGCGCCTCAGGGGGATCGGGGGTCACAAAGGGATCAACCTCCCAATGTTGAAAGCATGAACCAAGAAATTGCACCAAACGATGAGGGGCCTCCACCGTACGAACAAGTAGGCAACCAGCATGCGCCACAACACCGTGAGAACCAGCCGTCTTCTCCGATACTAGGTGTGCTTTAAATAACAGCGTTTGAGAGACCAAATTTCAATAAAAAAAACTCCCATGTTCAGTCAAGTCCACCGCAAACTATGTGATAACTGATAATAACAGACCATTGTCAAGGTCTTAACGGATGTATTTGAGTATATCTGGAGTATAATCTTTATGGTCAGCGTGGTTATGAGGGTAACTGCCCAGTGCACTCTGGCAAGGGTAACGGAAACGTCTCATTTTTGCATTTTCAAAAGGGTTACACTAGTAATTCCCAGAAGAATCAGTATTATGCTGTATGACTGAAGATGATGAGATGGGTTATTCAGTTTCACATGGTTCCACATCAGCTACCTAAGTAAGACTGAGTACGGAGGTCATATCAAAGTGTTTTCCATCTGTTACGGATGCTCGTTTATATCCAACATTTATAGACCCGTCAACGTAACCATGAAACTTGTCTTCATTCCATAAGAGATTTTAAATTAATATTTACATTATTTTTCAAAGCGTATTTCACTCATTGTTTGGTGAATCATATCGTGTGTTGAAGACACGACATCGCCTTTACTGTCTTCGTTTGTTTATTTTTTAAAATTTCAATTCAGGGTGGGTTTATGTACTTATTGGTCCCCCTGGTCATTTTACAGTGAATTGTACTGTTGCGACGTAGATGTGCCTTTAGTTGCACTTGTTGTGACTGTATTTTCGGGACAGCAAGCACAATTGTGAAAGAAAGAGAAGTTCAGTATATCACTCATGCTTTTTGCACAAAGACAATTTGGTACACTGTGAATGCACAGTTTTAACTGTGCATCTGAAAAGATGTGAGCTATGAGAATTTGTACATTTGATACATTTGTAAAATATCATTTAAACATCTTATCCGAATCTCAGAGAGTTTTTATTTCGATTTTGTACGTGGTTGTCAGGTGTGTTCTTTTCCACAACTGAATAATTATGTGTGTTCAGAAGGCGTGCGAGAGAGAGGGCCAGACCCCCAAAATTTTAAGAGTGTTCTTCGTTACTTAACCTTATATTATACAATTTTCAAATTATTTTTCAAAACCCAGCGATGCGTGTAACATTATACCCGGTATCAGGTTATCTGCACAGCTCTAACTAAATAGACGTTCCACTTAAATTCCGGCATTTAATATGCACAGTCCTATGAACCAAACAAAAATTGCACCATGGCGCCAAATACAAGATAAAAGATAATGGTTAACGCCCAGATTTTACACCAAGGATAACCGATTGAAAAATTTTAATTGAACAACAAACTACTGCAGCCTGAATAGCATAAAGATGAAAATAGTGAGCACAAAACAGAAACAGACAGTATAGAGTATTACAGAGTGCTGCACAACGTTTTTCTCCTAGCAACATTACCTATATCATTTCGGGTGAGGTGGGGGCTTATATATGCTGGTAATACCATAATTATACTATATGGGGTGGAGGATTAACGATTCAGGGAAGTAACGATAAGGGGGGAGTAACGATGAAATTACTTTATGTCCAGTTTCCATACCAACGGAAATTTTATTTCACTTAAAAAAAAGACAAGCGGGCATATATGAATAAGTAAAAATGAAGAAGCTGATACTCGTCGTCTCTTTAATTTGGAGACTCTCTTTCAAGAGTGAATAGTCAATGGTTGTCGCCAGGCAAGGTGGGTGTGGAAAACGCTAAGAAGAGTACTTTTCTCAAATCCCTCGTCAACTCTTTAGTCAACTCTTAGGTTGTTAGGTTATCGTGACCACCAAGCAAGCTCACGAGGTGAATTCGCCTAATTCGTGTGGAAACAGTGGTAATGCTCATAACCGGTGTAACTGAGGGATCGTGTAATAGAAAGTCCGCCCATTAATTATAATTATAATGGTTAGAGCTAGCCTGACCTAAGAAGGCCATAATCTAGGGCGAGGATTACCTGTACAAATGAATGGGAAGCAGAGTCCCTATTATGGGGGACTCTCTGTCACGTGACACCAGGGAGGCCTGTCTACCCCAGTTTGGGAGAAAAGCCTAAGAAAACTAGCACAAGGTAAGGAATATTGGTAATTTGAACTCGCCACCTCCTTTCCCTATACTTGAATATGGACAGGCCAATGTTAGCGGTGTTCCTCATGCCACCTTCGATGACATGTAGTCTGGTATGTACAGTTGCATTTACAATCCATCACATCCGTTCCGCCCAAACGGGGTTTTGCGCAATTTTTTCAAGGTTACTCCCACGCTCGTCACCGCGATCTCACAGTTGTTACATCAAGATTTTTCACTTGTAGAATACTGCTACTTCTAAATGCCATAATACTTTATATAATAATAATAATTTCCCTTCCTGCATTGCAATTATTTTTGTTATATTTCACAGTAAATATTAAATCAACCTCAAGACAATCACCTTTAAAAAATATTCGCCAACTGCAGTAAGGCTGTCATAAAAATACATTTACCGTTCGAATCGCTGGTACAAAAAGATAACATACATGTAGATACTAAGGATAACATGAGAAAAACAAACAAGTTTTCACAGATAACTACAGATTATTCACTATCAACAAATGAAAATGGATCAGCTCTTAACGCCTAAATATTAAGTAATGGCAGTGTCTGGAGCATTGACGATGCACGGCACATATCACACATAAGTTGATATTCATAAATCAATGCAAATTCATCCAATAACTCAATAAAAAAATCAGTTGGTTACTTACAATTTAAGAATCAAATGTAACCTTCAAGATCATGATTAATACTATATCGGCATCTCCCATATATATTTATATATTATGTTTCAAAAAGAGTTTTACTGGGAAATTTTTTAAAGTCTGAATTTCAAACACTACTTGTGTTTTTCTTCAATTCATTACTTTTAAGTGATGGATATACTAATCTCAGTCATTAGCCAACTGCGCATACTATGCACCTGCTGACTTTTGTCATCCATGAGCCAGCTTTTAATATTTTCCCTTTCATATTGTCAAAAGTACGCCTGACTTCATCTTCGTTTACTGACACCAACCAAAAGCTGTACTTGTCACTGAAGAAGTGGCATTCTCCGCGGCTGTTACATTCGATGTATGGGTTGATCCGGAAGTGCTCCATACAGCTACCAGGACTGGCCAATTGCTGGCCGCCTCCCATGGCACCCACGGCGTGCTAAAGCAATAAAAGTGCTCTATATATTAGAGAGCAGCTGAGTGATGAATTTTCAAAATTAAATTTCCATGCAAAAACTGGACAGTAGAGAAAGGTTTTAAGAACTAGCCAGACACATATCTATGTATATTTATTGAAAATCAATCTGTGACCCTGGTAGAGGGTACAACAAAATACACTGACTTCGGACAATCTCCTGAAACAAATGTATCAAATATGACATTGATTTGCATTAAGAAAAATGGTCCAAACCAAATCAAATTCTAACAATGAAATTGTCGCGATTTCTGAAACGACTGCGTTCTGCAAAGTAACCGCAATAAATTTCTCATCGTGCATTTCATTAAACCTAAGTTATGACCGTAGGTTTAAAAATCGCACAAGACATACCATTACGAAACTATATCCCATCCACAACTCGTTCCACCCATCAGGGCAGGTGGGAATGACGGAGTCTTGACTGTGAAGAGCTATAACCGGACCCGAGGCTTGGCAGACTCCACATCTGGAAATATAATACATGTGGTGTCATATCTATGAAAATTTGTACTCCTTCTTTCTCCATCTCTCATTCTTTCAGTTCAAAGGTGGTCGATTTAAGTACACATTAGTGTTTGATTAATTAGGTCACCAAACTCCTAAGACTGGCCTCTATGTCCTCCTAAACACGTTCAGTTGACATATTGTACCAAAATATTTGGATAAAACGCCACCTTCTCTTATCTATCGTACTCGCGACATGTTTTAAGCGGGGAAGTTTGGTTTTTGTCACCACTTCTGTTTGAATCTGACTGACGGACATTTGTACATATGCTATTGAATGAGATCATATCTTGCCAGAATACAAGTCCCTTTGGATGATGTACTGGACTTTGATCAATCGGACACTATGACCCCATTCCCATAGATTTTAGATCGATCTATCCCTGTGTGGAGTCTCACTAGATTACTGTCAGCTTAGCCGGCTTAAGCGTCTGTCCCGCCTACTAAAAGTTGTAAGGGGGTAATTAACTATGGTGCGCGCTCGGCTGACTGCAATTTAGCGTGAACCCCCAAGGAGTCAGGTCGATCTAAATCTAAATCTCTGGGAATGCACCCTATGTCAACTCTCACATAATAGGCCTACTGTATCAAACTTTTGACAGTCTCCACATGGGTTTCACGTGCTTACCGTCCTATATACGGCTCGGCATCTCCCATCGTCACTGGCACCATTGGCATGGGCATGTCTGTGGACAGCCAATAACTCGTGGCCGTCCTCTTGCCGTAGTTGCACTGGTTCTTGATATTACAGAACATGAAAGGCATTGGGCTGAATTTCCGCATGCATGACCCAGCTTGCCCTGAAATATTTTATTTTAACACGGTTTTTATTTGATTCTCCGTCTTAACCCCTCGTGGGAATTTCATGTAATAATTTTCATAGAAAATGGTCCAAAGAATCCCTTTTGACCTAAAGAGAGATTGGCTTAAGTACTGGTCAAATTAACTTCGAGATGCAACTCCAAGGCAAATGTTGTTGTTGAAAGGTAGCACTTAGTTCATGTATAACTTAAAGGGGAAAACGCGTTTTTAGGAACGTTTACTTATTTATAATCATTGCACAAGAGATAGTGAAAAACCTATTTCACCGAATCTGTCTTATGTTTTGGGAGCTTTGATTTAAAAAATGAGCTTTTTGTGCAAATACTTCGACAAAATTAATTAGGAAATTACCTAGATCCTGTACGTGGGATCTTCCGTCGTCTTCAGTGTGTAGTAAGCTATAGCCTTCCCAGAGTAATCTGTGTCCTTGAGCGCAGACGATGCGATCGCGTTTCTGGCTATGGCGCGCATAGATGAAGGCAGAGTTGCCTGGGGGACCTAGGATTACACAACCGAGAGACTCATATATAATTATTGTGTACTTGATAAATGTACGTGTAGCAATAAGTGTACAAAGCAAAGAATGGGGCATGTGTATAGGTAACATATATATTACAAGGAATTATTTGTATTTTTTTTCTATTTTCAATTCTGTCATAATACGAGAAAGATTTGTATGACATTTTAAAAAATACACTTTAAGATTCACGTTTATCTACGCGTCACTGTAAAAGTAAGATTTTTCTTGAGAGTGTATTATGAATAATTCTTGTGCCATATATAATACCTCTTACTCATTCTAAAATCTTTCATCTAGTACTGTCGATTACCTGGAGCTCCAATGCGCCCCGTGCGTCCAGGTGGTCCATCCAATCCTCGATTTCCAGGGAATCCAATGGACCCTGGTGGTCCAATAGGGCCCGGGGGTCCAGGGACCCCTATGTTACCCCCTGGGCCCATAGGACCAGGGTTGCCGTAGCCCGGTTCTCCTTTCTTTCCTTTCGGACCGAAAAGAGGAACTGCTTCACCTGGGAGATGAAAATGTCAGGAATTAACGCTTTACATAGTCGTAAATGACATCTCCTCTTTGTTCTTAACTCCAAGATTTTACATTTACAATGTAAGTATTTATCATTTGCATTTTGCGCAATTTTGATTTAAGTAATGAAAAGAAGTAGCCCCCCCCCCCCCATATTTTCATTATTTGAAACCAGACTTTCTATAACCCTTTGCGTCAAATATATGTATATTTTTTACTAACCTTTTTCTCCCTTGGCACCGACTGGGCCCGCTGGACCTGGGAACCCCTGACCACCTTCAAATCCTCTTATACCTTCAGGGCCAGGCGGTCCGGGAAATCCAATCTCACCAGGTTCGCCCCGTTCACCTTTCGGACCTGGTGAAATCGGACCAGGGGGGCCGTAGTCTCCACGAGGACCCACCTCGCCCTTTTCGCCTAATAGGATAATATAAGTGTCTTCGGTAAAAAAGAAGTAGATCACTTTTTTTGACGACTCTAACGTTGTGCTTTAAGATTTTAAATGTTGCCTGTTAAGGCAGAGTTTCTAGCTTCGTCTTGAGTATACTATGTCATTTTACATAGGTTGTCTTCAAGTATTTTTACACAAGAGCTTTCTCGCCAGTTTTCTCATCCACGCATGCACACACACACACACACACACACACACTTACACACACACACACACACACACACACACTTTTGAATGCCATATTGCACATGTTTATTTTAAAAATACAAAGATATTTTCGCGACACCTTTAATTCATATGTTAAGTCAACACCGTCAAATATACGAGTGGTGATCACAGTCTTTCCTCCTAAGCTTAACCTGAAAGCTTTCGCTGGGCGACTCCTGTTTACGCCACAACATTTAACATAACAAAGTGAATGTATTTAGTCATCCAGTAGAATTAGAATGAGAAATGTATGTAGCTCTGATACTGGAGCTTACATTAGCAACTGGTCGATGTTGCGATCTCAACCCTGGATGGACTGGTCACTTAATTTGTTGACATGCGGCAAAGTCGGCCAGTTGCTATTGTAAGTTCCAGTATCAGAGATATACATATTACTCACCAAAACATATAATTATTAAACATAGCAAATGATTTTTTCCCAAAATGGGAGTTATATTAGAAAAGGAAATATACTTTTCTATGTAAACTCTACAGAGAAACACTTAAACGTATATATTAACCTTTATCCCCGAAACCTCTCTCCCCTTTTCTGCCCTCGAAACCAGGGGGTCCAATGAAACCCTGGTCACCTTGTTCCCCTTTAACTCCCTGTGGTCCCGGGGGTCCGGTGATACTGTAACCTTGGCGACCTAAAAAGCAAATGCACGGCAGATGTATAGATCATTATATATTGTATTATGACATAATCAAAAGTGCATACCTATATTAAAGGAATGTGGTCTCGTTTGAATTATTATCATTATCTCATGTATATAACAGATGGATCTCTCTCTATACATGTCCCATATCTCTACTTCTAGGATCCACCAAAGAAACTGAATTTCTATTGCTACCAGTGTAATGCTAATGTTCAGATGAATAGAGGAATTATCGAAAAACGTACAGTCTGTGAGGAAAGCTCAAATAGTGTCACCAGCTTCAATAATAATACATGTTTCTACTTAAACCCCCTTTACACTGGACGGTGTCCTTCCTGCATCCTTAGTGCGACCATGAAACTGGCATCCCTGTGGTCGTAGAAAGGAGGCACAAGCATCGCTTTGGTTGAAGAATGAATGCTCAATGATTAGCCAGTTGTTGGCACGTAAAGTGTAATTTTTACTCTCAAACGGGGCCCTACTACGAGACGCAGAAAGGACAGTGTCACCAGCTCCAATAATGATACGTGTTTTAAGGCACTACTTACCTTCTTCGCCCTTCTGTCCCGGTCTCCCGATGCCGTCCCGGCCAGGCGGACCAGCAGGACCTTCCGGACCTGGGAAACCCATCAGACCTGGTGGACCTATGTCTCCTTTTACGCCTACAAAACCATATGCGAGATTATAAGAATCCACCAACAGGTTAATAATATGTCGTTTCTTCTAATGTGATTTAATATAACATTGTACTAAAATCACACGTTTGCCTTCATCTACGGACTCTCATCGTTTGACGTTCAATTTTAAAAAGCATTAAACTGGAATATACAAATCTAGGGTATATTAACCCACAGCTGCATAAAAACGAGTTTTAATATTAATGGTATCTTTAATCAGTGTGCAGCAAATGAAGAAAAAACTTGGCCTGAATATCAGTTAATAAGACGTATTTATAAGTTAATTGCGCCCCCTACCTGGATACCCAGCCCCTCGGTCCCCCTTTTCCCCTGTGGGTCCTGTATAGCCACTCGGACCTGGGAAACCTGTATCTCCTCTGTCCCCTTTGTCTCCCTAATGATATATATATTTATATTTTAATATATCATATAATATATAACAATATATCGATAAGAATAATAGTCTGTATTTTGCAAAACGAACTATATGATATTGATGAACTATTCAATGCTCTCCTTATATGGTAGAGTGTTTTATGATTTTCAATGGTTTTTAAACTTACTTAAATATGAGACAGCCAAGCTGAATGGTTTACTTAACCTTTGTCAGTAAAATGCCCATTTAAACAGTATCTTAACGCGTTTCTTAACTAATTTTTTTTAATTTTTACAAAGCCCTTTAGATAAGAGACTGACATATACACATGTTCAATATAAATGTTAATAAGCAATGGAATTGGGAATTATTTCTGTACCTTGTCGCCTATACTTCCTTTATATCCAAATCCAGGAGGTCCCATGTCTCCTGTAAGGCCCGTGTCACCCTAAAACACAGATAAAGAATGTGATGATTTGGACTGCTACTCTTGATTTTATACTTTCAAGAGCATTATAGTGTTTATGTCTGTTACTGAAAATATTGATTAAAGCATGAGACCATTTTAAATAATTTCTCCATTAGAGGCCCATTTGTATTATTGACAGGTTTTAAAGAACAGCACTTGGACAACCTTATAATAGAATTTCATAGGTTTTTGAGTGAAAAGAAGAAATATCATAATAAAAATAAACACTAATTTTCAACTTTGTTACTTTTTACGAATATATTTTTCGTCTATATTAAAGAGCTTCACGCCAGAAAATAGTTATTTTTACTCTTTGGCCTTTCTCTCCGTTAAATCCATCTAAGCCTGGCACACCACGGTCTCCCTGAAGATATAAAACTGTAAATGATGAATAATTATAATGAGAAAATCTATACTTAATTACTCTATTCTACTGACCATATCGATAACTGAGATTTACCCAAATACGTGAAGCAAAACTGTTGATCATATACTCTAGATAAGTTATACATCGATTTACGTTATGAAGCAAGTACAGCACTAGTTTTCTTGTAATAAATTACAGAGTACAGTGTACCTTTTGTCCTCGTGGTCCAACAATACTACGACCAGGCACCCCTTCCTCTCCTAAAATAAAAAAAAAATATATATATACCAATACATTTTGATTTTACTGTCGGGTTAACCTACAGGATAATATAATGTCAAATATCAAAACACACAATTATGATACTAAAGATGACGCGTTCAAAATGAATGGTAATTTATTTATTTATTTATTGAAAATAAAAGCTTTAAAAAGCTTTAAAAGAGAAAAACATACTATTGACGTTCTGTGTTTTTTAGTTAATGTAATAAGAACTTTACCCTTTTGTCCTGGATCCCCCTGGAAATTAGGAAGGAAACGTATTGTATCGAGCAGTGTTTGCGATTCTAACAACATTCTAACGTTTTCTCACCACAAATACATTTTTTTTTAATTTGAGCAAATTACAACTACAAAAATTAATGGCGTAAGTAAGATTTATGTGCCTCAAATGCCCAAAGACCGATCCTCTTTTTTTACTCGAACAGATAAAATCAAACACAGGAGATAATATGAAAATTGTCATCTATCTAAAATGATAAAGTTAAATATAATGATAATGAATATAAAAAAGACGCTATTTTAGAGTATTGCCCCAACATTTGGCTTCTGGTTTCTATTACAGCAAATTATCAACAATTCGAGAAAAATAACGAGATACTTGGAGACAAGAAGTAATGCAGATGGGTTAATTATTTTCGGCTTACCCGTGGACCACCATAAGGGCCGGGAGGACCAATGTCGCCTCTGTCGCCTTTGGTACCCTGCAATCGTAAAGATGACAACTTGACCGATGTAACGTGACAGAGAGTCCGCCATGATAGAGAGCCCGCTTCACATTTATTTGTACAGGTGAGCCTCGCCCTAGATTTTGACCCACTTAGGTCAGGCTAACCCTAAACATTATTATTATTATTATTTTTATTATTATTATTATTATTATATGATACAACTTACATTGAATCCGTCACATCCCGGAAGTCCTCGCAAACCCGGGTCTCCTAATTCACCTTTAGAGCCCTGAAATTCAGAAACAGCCGATCCATTATTTTACTTGATATAGTTCGACCAATCGACTGATGCTATAAGGACAAATTTCACATGAATAAACACTTTGGTTCGAAATCAAATATCATCTATTTGGTATATTGCCACTATATATTTTACAAAAAGATAACATGAAGTTTTTTTATATGGAGAGACGAAACGGGACTGGCCGTGTCACTGACAGAGGCAAGGCAGGTCTGATAGTGAGTGACCGATATCGCAGTTATCTGTTTCCACATGGATTTCAAAATATTTATTTCTTCATACGTGACTTTTGGCCTGATAATTAGTTATGAGTAATGCAAAGCACACTGTCAAAAGGGAGGTGCGTAGCGAAAGGCACCGCAAAGGCAGTAATATATATTCGAATTATATATATATATGTAAAGAATTTATTTAGCCCACATATAGTCTACAGATGACCACTACAATGGTCTGCTGTGTGTTGTGTCTGGATAAAAGATCGGACTGAAGAAGTCTGCAAATACCTGCATATCCTGAGAGTTAAGTAAGCAAAGTTTATAATGCTGGAGCAAAGCACTTGAAGGGTGACGGTAAACATCTATAAAAATTCAGAGATCACGAAAAGACACGACCCCATTGTCCTCTGCATAACCTACAGAGCCACATCAGCCAAAGACTCTGGTGCAAGGGATTTGGAAAACTAAACCCTTAACAGACCACATGAAATAAAATAATGCTTTAATATTTTATAGTTTAAAAGTATAAATTTTTATGAAGTTTGAGTGCCATATGATTCAATGCTCCAGACAGATTCAAGCTTTTACAGTTGCTTATTATATGATGTTTATGTTATTTCCTTACTTTAAATCCATCGCGCCCATCAAATCCCCGGTCTCCTTTTGGTCCCTAGAAGTCAGAACATAAATTGAACTAACTTGAAATACTTTATGTAAAGATATTCAAGACGCAAAAAACATATTGGTCAGAATGTATTCAAAATAGTTATCTGAGGTGTAAAAGACATCAGTTTGGGCTATTGATATTCGCTATACATGTAATTCTTATTCGTAGCGCATCTACTCTAATGGTACATGTAAAATTATTATTATTATTATTATTATTATTATACATTCTTGTCATATATATTCATGCTGTCTCTGTATTCTGTATTTCACAAAAAAGTGAAATAAATAAAGAACGAATGAAAAATAGGCAATTATCTGTTACCTGTGGCCCAGGTAGGCCATCGTAACCGTTTCTCCCTGGGTCTCCCTTGGATCCCTTGGGGCCCTCTTGTCCTTCAAGTCCAGCGATGCCCGGGAATCCCTGCCGGCCCTGCTGTCCTTCCAGGCCCTGTCAGAAATAACAAATGACAACCTTTTTTTAATTTCTGAATAATTTCACCTTGCTTTGGTAACAAAGCCATGGAGGTTACATACACTATACTTCCCCGGGTGCAAAACGTATTCACTTAAGTATCTATTTTTATAATTGCTTTCGTTTTTTGTTTGTGTGTGTTACTCGTTTATTTTTAAGATCATAATCATTTTGACGAGGCTTGTTTCCAAAGATAACGACACCTACCGGTGGTCCGGGTAAACCGGGTGTACCAGGCACGCCTTGTGAGCCCTGCGGTATAAGGGAAAACCAATTAGTCCTTGTGCTTAATTGTTTAATGAAATTAATTTTATTCTATTTTGATATCCTGTTAAAAGCACGAGCATTCGTTCATGCAAACTAAAAGATTAAAAGGCAAAATACTACTCTGTTATACGAATTTTGATTACGTTCTGGAATAAAATTTCAGTGATATTTTACAAAAAGATCACCTTACACCTTTATGAATAATAATTTCTTCTGCGTGCAATAAAAGCTTTTCTACATTTCTCTCCGTGATTTTTAATATTTGTAGTAGTCAATTTTCTTACCCTTTCTCCCTTCCCACCAGCGTCGCCCTTTTCACCGTCGAGGCCTCTGGGTCCAAGGGGACCGACTGTGCCGTCTTCCCCTTGGATACCCGGCAAACCCCTGTCCCCTCTATCACCTTTCTCTCCCTGGATTCCCTGCAGTAAAAAATTCATAGTAATACAATCTTGTAAACATAGACATCACAGGCTACAAGAGTACACATACAGTTTCTAAATGAAAAAATGAGGTATTTAGTAAGTAGGAATAAAAAAGTCTACTTTTCCAGGAGACCCCCCTCCCTCCATTTGAATTTTCTAACAACAGGCCTGATGTGGAGTAATATGGATTTATCTTTAACTGGTTAGACCTAATTTTTTGGTCTGTAACTTAGGACAGTCAATTATTTTATTAAAATAGTAAAATAAATAAAATAAAAAATATTCGTTTTACGCAACGTGCTAGGATCGTGTGTTATTTTAATATTCTCTGCCAGTGAACCTTACCGGCCTTCCTTGTTGTGTGTAGCACTGACAGGCTGTACGACGGTCACACTGTCCTTCGTACTGAAAAAGATGCACATGGCCACATATATTTAATTAAATGAATATTTATGGTTAATAGTTAATAATATATATGTTATCCGATCAGTAATGTTCAGTGTCAGTGACTCTTTTACTAATTAGTGACGTTAATTATCTGAGTGTTCACACAAAGATTTTTATTATAATATATCAAAGTTATTTCATTTATATTAATAGCCTGATATGCAATCAACTTTATAGAAAAATAATAATAATAAATTAATAAATAAATGAAATAATAAAAAATGATAATAAACTCTTTTAACATGAAAATGTTATCGTCTAATGACTTACGTCTACAACATTTGAGAAAGGGGTTAAGTCCCCTCTACCGAATACTACAGAAGCGGGGTCTATGGAAAAGCGATCGTCTCTGCGAGTGGTAGTAGTAGTGGTAGTAGTGGTAGTAGTACTAGTTCTAGTAGTAGTGGTAGGTGTAGTGGTGGTGGTGGTAGTTTTGTAAAATGGCTGAAATTCAATAATCCTGTGTTACTTTCAGAAGTCACACGCAATGTGATTGGTTAATATAAGCCGTCAATTATCGGACGTTTCCGTCACGAGTGATTGCACATCAGTTTATTTATTTTGTTTTTCAGAAAGTTAACTTTGCGCTCTTTAAAGTGAACTCCACGCTAATCACCGTTTAACATAAATCTTATGCATATTTGTGATTCGAGTATGTTCGGAACAAACACTTTAACAGGTCTCTGTTTGGAGACTTCTTAAGATTTTTTATACAATTACTGTTTTTGCAGAGTAAGTTTACCTTCGTGGATGGCGGGGTGGGTTTCTGTGAACTAGAAGTAGGACGAGTTGCATTCTTAGGTGCATCAGTTGGGTCTTCATTCCCTCCAAAAAGATCCCACCACCCTCCATCATTTTGACCTCTATTACTATCGTCGCTTTGAGGTAGATCTAAATCTTTACCTACCAACGCACCGTCCACCACATTTGAAGGAGCCTAGAAACAGACATGCATAAGGCATTGCGTTATTTTTTGGCTTATTGGATTTTGTTTTAAAATATTTGTGAAAAGCACGTCCAAGGGATATGGAAGTTTTTTTTTTATTAAGGTATCCTTTTTGGTTAACCTTAACACAACTGCTTAGATATCCAAGTGACAACCAATATTCCCACCGAATGCGTCCCAAGTCTACTTTGTTTTCAATGAAATTTGTTATTCTAATTGTTTGTTTGCTATTTTGTTTTGTAAATTTTCCGTAAACAATTATATCCATAAAAACAATTAAAAAAAACTAGGGCGTGACGTCAGACTTCAAGCTAATTTCGCTTGCATTGTCTGTAAGCCTTGTATAGTGTTTGGGTCACTTAAAACACGTCAACATTAACATTGAACTTTGAGGAAGCATTTATTATCTTCTAAAATGTTTCTAAACGCACGACGATGCCATGTTAAATACAGGCTAGTCTACTTGGGTTGGTAGCAAGACACACCTCGATAGCAACTAAACTAGTAGAAGCCAGACCACAAATGTTAAGTCTAGTATTGAAAAACTGTGCTACTGTTCTGGAGAAATGTGAATAAAATTTAAACCAACTTGATTAACACTACATTAAGACGCTATCCTAGCAGTGCCACCTACCGGAGAAGTGGAGGTGTTCCAGTATGCAAGAGCTATTGGTATGTCTCCCCTTCTTGGGTCATCACCCTGTGGCAAATCCTCGTCCTCTTTCTTCTTCTTCTTCTTCTTTTTTCTGCGACTTTTAGGCTTTTCGCTTTCATTTATTTCTGTTAAATTTAAAGGGAGACTAAATAGTTCAACCCCGGAATTATGTAATTCAGACAGGTCGGTTTTGTTTGCTCTTTTTCTGTTCTTCCTTCTGTGCTTTCTACCACGGCCCCGGGTTTTGTTTTTCCTTGCATCTGAAATATAAATTGGAATTAACTATGACAAAGGAAGCATGTATTCATTTAAAAGTTAAATCTGCCAAAAAGGTGATGCACTTTAGCGTTTAGTTTTTTTCTGTCCTTCAACCACGCAAGAAAATCAGTCACCTCTCTTTCAATGAAAAATCATACTATAACGAAAATGATACAGCTCGTTTTTGATTATTTATTTTCGGGGATGGAATGGTAGCTGAAACATTATCTGCTTGATTAAATGTCAATTTGAGTCATAAAGAAGATACCAGGAAGACAGCATGGCATATATAGGACCCTGCTAAAATTTTTCTTGCGTTAGGTCAGCGTAGCGATAACGGAAGCCTAAAGACCATGTTTGCGACTTCACCTTTTTAGACACCAAAGAGACTCAAATAATTTCGAATTGCCAGCTGACATAGTGGGTGTAGCTATAGCAATTGTTGCCGTAATAAATTAAAAAGACTTCTCTCTTTGGAACAAACTAAGGTCGTGTGTTAGGTCGGAGAGCAAAGAAAGGGACACATTTTATAGATGAACTGGATGCTTTGTCATCATCCATATACACCAAGGTCCCATCTCGAGGTTATGATGCTTCAATACTAACTCAATAACAAGGTTAAGTACTGTCAGTTTTGTCGTTTGATCTATAATTCAAGCGAGCGCTTCCCTACGCAGCTGCTGGGGAAATTGGCCGCCATCCACACCGCAACATCATTTCATGAATTATTCATACTAACTAAAACGTTTGCAACTATCTTTAATATTGTGTTTTGTCCAAAGCAGACATCGGAGGTGATTTCAAACACCTGGATTATTCTTGTACTTAATACCGAGTCTAATTCTTTGCTGACCTAATGTGAAGTAGGGTTTAACATGGTCGTCTGCTTAATTTGTGTACAGGCGTTAAGCGCCCTTTTTGATAACGCTGATAAGAGTTGAGCTGCCAGAGAGAGAGAGAGAGAGAGAGAGATGGACGGAGGAAGAGAGATGATTATAATTATTGTGATGATATGTGTAATACTAGAATAAGATCAAGTTATTAGTCAAAGAGGTCATAACTGTGATCATGTTAAATTTTGAGAATGATGATGGTGATGATGCTGATGTTTATTTTTGTTTGTATCGGCACATTGCCAATATCAATTCTGTTTTGTAATTTGTTAATGACTGCTTCTATGATATTGTAGCTCAATACCAATCCAAGTTTGACAGTTTATAGGACACTCTTCCATGTAACCGGTGGGGGTACATGCGTGCCAGGACGAAAAAGAATTTTGTACATGTAGGTTGATGAGAATCGCCGTCAGTACTTTGAATTCCAGGGTACTTTGCATAAACGGAAAGAAAAGATGTGCTTTCTTCTTATCCCAAAAAAAAAGGATTTTACAAATGATTCTATAAGAATCTTTAAAAGGTTTTTTTTTTAACCAGGTTTGACGTCAGGGAAATAGTTTTTTGGTTTAAACGCGAAAAGGCCACGAAAGCAGGCAACGACCAAGCGTAGTACTAAACTTTTGTGAAATCAAGAGCGTAAAACAAGTTCTTCTTGAACCATATTAAAACTAACAGCCCGTCCTGTGATGTTAGATTCCTTTTGTAAATCTTAAAATTTGATTCACGTCAGAATAATTTTTATACTGCTGGTGTAAGAGAAGACAAGAAAAACATATCCGGCACCGCGAAATATGATGTTTAAAATAAACATATGCTTTACGATGCCGCAGTGTCAATGTTTTGGGTTGTGCTTAAAACCGTCAATAATTCCGTCTCTGAAAGTACTTGGGGTACTTACAAGTTGTGCTTTATCATTTTTCGCTTATCACGAACATAGTAAATTTGTTTAAGTGTCTGTAGGGAATGAGGTTACAGATATACATATTTGTTTGAGCCTACGCAAGTTTTTATCATTGGTCTACTTTGCCAGATATATTACATATCATGTGTACCATATAGTGTAGAACAATTATGTGAAAAAAACTGACCATTTATCTTAATTTGGACAAACATCAAATTGTGTCGTTAAGTCAGTATGTCTACCGGCAAGGACCCCCACCTGACTGCATATCCGAGCTTTAGAGTCTTGACACAAATATTATAAATCGGCCAGTGTGTATTCTAAATTTAACTATATAGATGAGAGTGTTTGGAGACGGATCAGAACCAGTCGGAATGTTTTCTTTATACTTATTTTTAATATAAATGTCAACAGACTAGTTGTACTCACACTTTGATGTTGTCATAGTGGGACTCTTCACATACTTCTTATTATGGTCAAAAGTGAGCTTACACACAGGAAATGGACTTTTGTAAGCTACCTTTGTGTATAGATCGAGGAATGGGGATTGGGGGGGGGGTAATGATTTGTATGACCATCGCAAATTCTTTTTACTTCATTGATTACTTATTCACAGTGCACATCTTTTTTTTTAATTGTATTCTGTCAGCAATACGTTAACTTTAACACGTTTATAAATGCATGTTTTCTCCTGAAAAAGTTTTAAGAGGGAGAAACATTAGACTGAATTGCAGCAATATTTTCCCCACAAAACTGTGCATAATTATAACCACTGTCCCTTCACATATGAAACATTCATCTTTTTTAAAAATGTTCTATATCATTTGTTTAATATGATTGTCGGATCCCATCGACTCTGCGAGCACTTAAATAGATTCAGCTAAAGAAAAGTAAGAATTAAGATGCCTATAAATCAATAGATACAAAAGTCGGCATGATTTAATCCCAAACAGATCCCCTCCGCGCGCGCGCGCACACACACACACACACACACACACCACCCCACGCCCACCCCCGAGAGTTGGATTGACCAGTTAGTATGGTGGGCTGCTCTCACTGACCGAATGTACACATCTAATCTTGTTTGACACACACCAAACAGCAGTGTGGCAATAAATTAGGGAGCACCTCGAGTTTCTCTGCAATATTTGGCAGAAATAACTGTGTGGATGTGGAGCTTAGCAGATAGCGCCTTATCACATTGTGTTTGAGTTAGGCGGACCTTGTCCTAACGTCTTAAGACAAACTACAACATTTCGCGCCTTTGTATGGCAAAGCTAACAGGACTTAATGGGTGTATATGTACATTCTTGTTTGACGCTCAACAGAAATACATAATTTTCTCAATGGAACGCTTGGGTGCACGTTTTTGAGTTTTGGTTTGATATGTGCAAGCCCAAATCTTGAAATGGGTAGAGTATGGGAAGCTAAACTTTTGTCTCGTGTTTGGTAAAGGAGGGATAGCATCATGTACCGATATAAAAGTATCGTGACACTGCTGAAGTAATTTAGAATGAAAAGTGTAATTCAATTTCAAGATAGCAATGCATACTTGTCGTGCTGTCAAGTCGCGTTTTCTCAAAAATGGAATATACATTATTTCTACTTTAAATACAATTAATTAATTCATTCATTCATTAATTAATAATCAATTTGCCCAAATGCCTACTGCGCGTAGACAGGGTTTCTAAAATACATTGTATTTTCTGTAATATATCAGTATATACCGTCAAGACTGGTTTCCCGATTACACTGACCGTTCATTTTCTCTCTCTTAAAATGCAGCGAGTGCTGTCGGCCAGTGCGTGCCCCTACTCTTAAAAAGGTAACGCACAATTAAAATTTTGAATATTGCACAACCGGCTACGAGCAATTGCACCACATAAACAGCTTTTGCTCACCTCATGGCACCAAATAGAAAAAAAACATGACCGCCAGACGGTTAGATCACGACCGTCAAATCGAGCAGATGAATGCATAAAATCTCTAGCAAGAACCCGTGAAGTCTTTTATCGCGGGCTAATTGTGCTGAATATTGGTCAGTGGCGTGGAACACACGGTATTCTGCGTTAAACAGGACAAATAACAACCACGTTAAGATTAGGAAATAATGCACGTTATGAAGTAACCGCACTTGATGAAGAAAATCGGTGACATAATGCCGCCACATACATACACAGCGCCTTTCTGATATTTACCTCCAACATCCCCGAACTGCCAATAGCAAAGGTGTGATATAAATACAAAATCAATTTATCATTTTTTTAGTTCAACAAAAATACTTACCTAATTCTGTTATCAGCAGCGCTATCACAAAGGCAACACAGATCCAAATCAACACTCGTCTCATGTTGTTGGCGTTAATTTTGAAATAAAGGTATTACATTTCTGGGTCTGCCTTCTTTAAAACGTCCCACTTTTTACGTGCGTTCTCTTCCCTCGTGTGTTGTCCTTACGCCGGGTCCGCCAGGTATGGCTGGCTGCAATCACGCTCAGATAAGCGGACAGATCATCGACTAATGCGGACAGACACCCGATTCTCCGCCTCGGCCTTAAGCGCTGCGTGCCTGGAAGCGTTCTAAATTTCCACCTGCCACGGAGTTTGAAAAGCACAAAGAAAAGAAGACAAACCTTGCTGAGCTGAACTGTAAATAATTGTACAATCTAACCTTTCATCCGAAGCCCACACCAAGAAGGGATAGGTCACCCTTAGGTCGTGGTCAAGTGGTCTGAGAGAATCGAAGTAAAAGAACCAATGGGATTGTCATAATGCTACGTATACGTCAACGCCGACGCATTTCAATACTCAATGTAAAACAAGTAAAAACACGGGACCGGTGCTTGTCAGCCTGGTAATCCTTAACAAACAGACTCGTACTGGGCGAAAAAAAATGGAAAAGATAAAAGAAAATCTCAGAAATGCGTGGTATCTACATGACTTGGAGGTGTTCAGCACTAATTACTCTGGTCGGTTTAAATGTAGGCTCAAAGGAAACAGCGTATGTAGATAACAAGCCTCAACTCTATAGGATCAAGCTGTTAACAGTGCGATGTTTCTCGTTTTTTTCCCTAAACCACAGCTTCATATTTAAAATGCATTTTTGTGATGAAAAAAGATGAAATAAGTTTATCTCTCTACCCCTTTTTAATGGCACGTGATCGTTAATTTATTTACATAATTATATATACTGATTAGTGATTTTGTGTATAGTCACTTGGAGGTAAAATGTTGTAAATGGATAGCATTTCGCTCTTGACATGGACAAGCTTATACGAAAAAAAATTCAGTGAATTTTGATTTTCTATTTCCTAACTTTTATTCAGTTAGAACTGATACTTGATACATCACATGTTCCTGATGCCACACGATTTGTACTTTTTATTCCTTACTTAGACTTATTCCTTCGCTTGTGGTACAAAAACGGCAAGAACAAGGTTATTTATTTTCCATATGCATCTATGTTTATAGTGGTTCACCAATCATGTGAAAAAAATTTAAAAAATACATGGGAAAATCAGACAACTTTTGTCTCCAAGAATAAATAGTCACTGATGTACAACTTTATCACTTAAATATAGGCCCTGCTTGACAGTTTTTATTACGGTTATCAGGTTCTAATTGAATTTCCATAGGAGCCCATTTGTGCCTTGATATGTACTATTAAGTTCATGGACATGCTTATGAAAGGAGGCCAACGGTCTGATGATGGAATGAAGCAAAACTCTTTCATTCATGTAATATCATGAAGAGCATTATGAGGTTTTCGAAGACAGAAATAACGCAGAAACACGTGTCGTGAGGTGTTACGTTAGCTGGTAAATAAAATACCGTATGTAGATTGGTATCAAAACGGGCTCTAATTTCACTTTTATTTTGGGCTAGAATGCTTGCTGGTTATTTGACTAATTGAATAATTCATGGTGCCTTTTAGGCGGTATTCTCTTTGACACAATCATAGAGAAAGGACACCATTTCAGCTCAATCGTATGGCCAAACATTTGCTTCCTTATACCCATGGGATTGTGTGTCACAACTTCACTGGGCCACGCCCCGAACGCTGTTTAACCATCATGAATTATTTCATCTTCAGTTTGCTATATGATGGGCATATTCACTCTTATAGTCTCCATGCAAATAGACACACTGTCATAAAAATTACGCAATAATCATATTTGGTCGAATGCGAATGAATCATTATCTAACCGAGTCAACAGCTGAAGGCGTGTCAATAAAAGCTTGCTCCTTGGTCAACAGAATGTTAGGATAGTGGCCAAATGAGATTTAAAGATTGCACAGGTTCTTGTGGTTTGTTTACATCGGCCCCGTGGTACATGTATGAGCACCCAGAAAAACACATGTGCTGTGTGCATTTGCGGACCGCACAATATATTTATCCAACAGTCTGCAAATATTGAAAAGTTGAAGTTTTTCATCTGCGTGATAAATGTTTTTGCAAGATGGTACAACGAAGTTTGGAAAAGTTGTGTTTAGGAAGCGAATAATTATAAAATGAAGATCTCATAACTTAGCTGAAAATAACCGGAAAATGTGCAGCAAAACACAGCATTATATTTTAATATTAAAATTCATTTGCGTATTCAATTTGTTCAAGGCGCCATCTTTTAGCGCTCCGAGTAATGCCTATTGTCCACGAATATTTTTTTACTTGAACAGAAAATTAATGACCAAATCTTCAAATATTGTGATCCAGTTTATATAAGAAACTCAGTGGTTCCTTTTTTTCTCACATAAACAGGTGAAATACGCGAACACAATCATTTAATTTTATAAACAGGGTTTATTGAAATTTCATTCTTCGTAGTATTCCAATCCTATGACTTAAATTGATTTTGTAGTCTTCAATCCAAATTTAAAACAAGTGTTTCCTTTGTGTTAGAATGAAGCATGTATTTGCAATGGATTCATACCAAAGCGCTCAAATATGCTATGTTGAAAACATTCAAACAAAATAACGCAGTACATGGGATTGTTGAGAATACACTGAATAAAAAATCGCACTAGAGGACTTATAATAACTCTAAGGCGACAGAAAGTTCCTCTGGGACGCCTATATCTACGTTTAAAGCTATTCTTCACTGATTTTTCGTGGCAAGTCTTATTTTCCTCGAGAAAAATAGCCATTTTCTCCTAATATAGATCACTGCTCTACCAGTGCACTTGAATTCGATATTTTGTACCCAAAGTTCTCAATGAAACGTGAATTTTTAGACTGACATACGCAGCATTTAGGGAATATTTCTCTTCTATGATGGATTTCCATCGCTCATTAATACTTTTTTCCCACGAGAGTATATCAATGTCAACAAATCCATATCCTACAAACTTTTTTTCTGTTATCTCTCGCCATTAAAGCCCTATATGCACTTGTGCTATCTTATGTCTAGTTGGTATTTTTTACAGCTTATCCTGTTGCAATATCCTCAACATGACATATTCAGGCTATCTAATACTAATCAGTCACTGAACTCATAGTTTGCCTGAACTTATATTCATGCCACTTGACTATATCTTGGTGCCTATTTATCGCTTCCTGAGCTCTATCGAAATGGATGGATGTAAGGTCCGTCTTGGTGCTGTATTGCATCAGTTGCGCCTGGCACATTCTTTACAATTGCTACGGTTGTCCGGTTTATTGGATTGCGTATCATTTATAGCATTGGATCGATTCAATTTATGTTCGACACAATTGAATGGTGTAATTGCGTTAAAGTAATCCTACTATCTGAGTGTTCGTCAATCCAACATCTGTCAGAATATGCGGGTCCACTGTTCATAGCGGTAAATGACACGAACTCCCAACTGAGTCTCAAATGATTAGAATGGAATGGTATAATATTCTCCAATTCTTTGCTCCACTCTCAGGGGTAGGGATTTTTCTATATGCCTTATTTTTTCCCTTGAAAATGTGACTCGGAGGCTTCATAAATACCAAGTAAACCGTAAAACACAGGTTTGTCTTTATTTAATATTTTTTTTTTATTTTGTGACGCTTTGATTTATAATCGACTGTTTTACAAGTCTGACTTATTATTTTTATTATTATTATTATTATTGTTACATACAGTTGCTAGGTCATTTTAGACCAAACCCAACCAATACAAGCCTAAACGCAATGAAAAATTGTTTTATTGATATGCGTAAGCGCACTACATGCCATGCTTTCTACAGTAAGTAATATTATGCGTCTGAATCGCCTGCATTGTAAGAGCCGAATGTTATATACATGTAAATATTGTTTAGACTATTTAGAGATAAAATATCATTCGTTTGTGACAGGTGTTATTTGTTCTTTAAGTAAAGACTTATTCTATTTTACTATCTCTGCTGTATCTCTGCTATACTTGGACTCTTGTACTTCTGCTATTCTTGGAGATAAACATAAAAAAGTACATTTGATTTTAGATCTTTTTCATAGTATAGTGTATCTATGTATGCCTATGTTACAATGCATGCAGCACACTGGTAGGCCTATACATGTAATACAACAAATGTGCACGTGTTAAACTAATGCTGAAATCATTTTCATACTGCAGGCATTATTTACAATTAAGTTCTCACAATCAAATGCCCTTAATTAAGTACATATCTTATCACATTTTTCATAATACAGTAAAACTTATAATTAAATAATCTGAAATCAAATATAAAAAGTGTATATACAAACCGATTAAATATATACATGTACCGGTAATAAAGTGCAAAACGACTTACCCGTCTTTTTCATAAATCGACCGGTATATTGAAGTAGAAAGACCTTTGACATCATTGGTAAAACTCGAATAATACAGTTACAATTTAATAGTTCTGATATTATTTCGATGATATTTTAACATTTTAGAATAACTACCCCCTATGTACACATATGTAACATACAGGTTCTGAATTGCTTCGAAAATCTCCACCGAATTTTCTTTCAATCATTATCAATTGAGTGGGGTGTGATCGTGGTTTCGATCCATACCGGAGTGACTGGATTGGTAGTCCTGAGAATGGAAGGCCGAGGTCCTATATAATATGATTAGTACATGTACCGGTAAGGGTTAGTCGGAGCATTGGGGTTAGTATATGGGACGACTGTCACCTGTACGTAGTCATGGGAAACGGACTGCGGTTCCTAGCGGACTACCAATCCTGTCACACCTGGATATAGTAAGGACCACAATCAAAATGGAAACTCCTAAACTGGGATCATCTAAACAAATTTACTATGTTCGTGATAAGCAGTCTATTATGAACGATTAACTAAATAAAGGCTGACTGCCTAGGAAGAAGTTTTGATGACGGGTTCGGAGCCCAAACGATGTAACATAACGAGCAATGTCTTGTATTCGCACTGCAAAGAAGTCTATACTTTTTACCTCATTACTTCCCTTTATTGGTAGGTATATTCCATTGTTTCAAGATACAATTATCTTTCTCTTCTTGCAGTATCCGCAGTGTGATTCCATCCTGTCGTGCTACAGAATAAGCGTCGGTGAACCCCGCGTGCTGGTGTTGGCTTCAACGCTCGTATCACAGCTTTGGTTGGTGTGACCCCCCTTATTGTGCTTTTCAATCTTTCTATACAACCCAGGCACCATCTGAATCTTGTCGTCGAGATGTTTGTACCGTTTGAGATATAATAAGATGGATATTATGGCATCCAGCTCCGTGAATATGAAAGAAAACCCGGCAAAGTAGAACGACCAGCCGTATGTGTATATGAATTGGAAGTTTTCGGGGTTTTCGTCAGGTTGTGGCTGAGGTCTGTGGGCTACTTCGTCGTTGATGGCGGATATATAGATTATAACGGCACTTGCGAGACACAAACCTGTGAATGAAACGTAAAGCAAGTTTGCTGAAACTCTGTGACATTATAGCAATATCTTTTAACGTCGTTGATTGCGTCTGTGAGTTGGGTGTCATTTTGGCATGTGACGTCAGACATGCTATACTCGCGTCCCTCTATGGATCTTTACATATATACACTTCAAACCGGTACCAGTTAACATATACTTCAATCTTTTTTTCTCCAGCTTGCACAGTAGCAGGAATTTTAAAGAAAATGATCAGTTCGACGTGACCTAGGATGGTCATGCGACATCCAAAATCAACCAAACAATAAAATTAATTTGCGTGTCAATGGTACATTATTTCCCAATAGGACTGATAAAACGACACCCACCTCATAAATGCAGACGTTGCAGTATCTAGGAAATTTACTACTTGACAAGGAATAATCGTTTGAGCAAAACTCACATACCTAACATACAGGTTGTTTTATAAAAAGCTTTTGTCCCTTTAAAAGTAAAATTCGATATATCATGATTTAAAATATATGGAATTTTAAATTATGTAGAATGAAGTACCGTTCAAACAATATTGTTGAAAAGTTTTACTATGTAATTTAAAAAGAATTGTACAAGTCTCTTCAATAGCTAGTGCTGTAAACATATACTTTACTTTAAGTAGGCAAACGGAATCTTTATTCCGAAGCTATTGACAAAAGAATTATAGAATTCTACAAACAGTGTTGCATGAAGTATTATTCAAGGTGACATCTTGATTACGAAGTCGCTGAAGTGAATAATCAATTGTATGCTATTGACTTGCTATCAATCTGATGTCTCCTCGTACTGTTGCATGTCAATCTATGGGGCCATTCAGAATAGAAGATCCGAGTATCAACTGGTCCAAGGCTCAAATATGGCGGACCCTACATGAAAGGAAGACTGCTTAATCCTGTAATGGTCTCTCCGCCTCTCACACGCCTCCCCACGCGTCGTCTCTGAATAGTAATTAAATCTCGGCTCCATTCGACAAGACGTGCATGAGAGGCGGAGAGCCAATTACAGGATTAAGCGGTCTTCCTTTCATGTAGGGTCCGCCATATTTGAGCCTTGGACCAGTTGATACTCGGGTCTTCAATTCTGAATAACCCCTGTGGTATCTTTGCTAGTAATGTCAATGGTATGACTTCAAGTGCTTACCAGCTAGTATGTGAAACACTGAGCCGATCAGGATTTTGAAATCACGTTTCACGATGCCTATGGCAGAAATCACTATCCCAATCAAAAGGAGGACCAATCCACTAGTGCATAGGGGGGCGGCGATGCCTGTGCCCTCTGAAAGACAATACAAGTATTTTGGTTCGAGTTAATGGCCATCATATCTGCGCTATTGTGTTGTATATGTAAGTAATCTCATTATGTTTCAGAGATATTGTACTCGTCTGGATGCTGCCTTAGTGCATGTCCTACTTGTGACGGCATGCCTGCCATTAAAATTCCCACAGGGCTATGCGTTATTGCTAACATGGAGCCAGACCGTATCAGTGTTTATGGTTAAACGCCTGTTAATGTTTTACTAACAACATATACAGCGCATAAAGTACAATTAAAAACGAAGGATTTCTCCCGTGTCCCCCCTTTTAGCTCGTCTGTCAGACTTTCCAGTTTCAATCGCGAATTCTGGTTATTTGAAACATTGATAATTTAGATTGATAAGCCTTTTCGCAACCCTAGTTATCGATCTGCCCTTGACGTTAATTGCACATCGTGTACATACTGTGGGGTTGAAGCTCTCTAAGATACAATCCATTATTATGTTAAAATTTCCAGAGCATTATCTGGAAATTAACGCGTTTATGCATGTACCTACATATGTACAGTGGTTCATGTGCATGATTCTAATATTAATACGATATAACATAATTGCTAAATGGATCAAAGTCGGTGTAATTTAGCTACTAAAATATAGTTTTCTTGGAAGTTTATACTGTATACCCACATCATCAACATTTAATCTAACAATATTGAATCAAACAATCGTTAATATGAATGGCACTCTGTTGTACTTGCTTTATCATACCATATAGCGACTTCCGCGATCTGAAAACGAAGACCATTGTCAAAATTTGAATGGTCAAATCTAAAACCTGAAATGTTGGGCTTCGATGCTTACAGCTGCATTAGGCAAGTAATGCATTTGTCAAAAAAAAGCTTCAATTCCAAATGGATGTATTATATCTAATAAATAGATATATCAGTACGCTTACACGGTCCACCTAGGAATGAAAGCAATACTGCTGAGCATGAGTGCACGCTCGTGGGTGATTATTTCTAATCCATCATACTTTCGCCGGAAATTTCGATTTGGTTGCGTGTCAGGCAGACTTGTTGCTCGAAATTAATTTTTTCAAATCATGATTATGCCACTTTATCAAATAATATCAAAACCATTGGATAACGACAGCATTCCTATATTATTTGGCCTGTACTCCTTAATAATGCATTTCTTTGAGTCTTTTAAGTCGTCAAAATTCAGCACACTGACCCTAACGCCCCCCCCCCCCCTCGAAGAAACCCTCCTATAGTGGAGTCTTGAAGCCATTGGCAACATCTGTTGTATATTCAAAGAGAATCTCTTCGGAGAAATTGCAGCAACGTCGACACACTTTTAAGTTATTAATGGACCAAATTTGCCTAAAAGCAGGTTGATTAAGATGGAATGGAAAGGGCAATGGAATGCTCAGTGACTGGATGAAAAGAGAGGTAGCGTTTAGGGACACTAAGTTTTAAAAATGATTTGCACACGCTTGTGGCGGGACAAACCACAAAAACTACCTTTCCTGACTTTTTTTGATTATTTTGTAGTGCTTATCAGACATTATTCTGTCAAGTTTGACACCTACATGCTCTGTCAGTATATATATACGCTTTCAGAACAAAATGTTCTAGTTTAGCTTAAGCCAACTGAACGAAGCACTGTACTAAGTTGCATTTTAAATCGAATGAAAATTAATTCTTTGGCAAGGGAAACGTATATTCTAACTAAAATTAAGTAAATCTTTATGATATGTGGTTTCTTTCGTACCCAAAATCCCTACAAATATAATATATGCTATTTAGAGAGATGCGGCTTTCAGATCTGTCGTATTAAACGTCTTAGTGCAAAGCACTTCCTATTCGCATTTGCTATTTAGTCCAGAGCGAGGACTGAAACATTTGCATTTTCATCAGAAGTTGACAAAACAAACGTTCAAGCAAGCTTCCTGGTCAATCAATAGCGCACTGAAATATAAGAGCGTGCATTCCTTATTTGAAATAGTCAGTATACAAGTTGAAAACATTTTACTGGTTACATAAACATGGAAACACGACCTTAAAGAGCATAAAGTTTGGTTTATATCTGGATTTTTTTAGTTTGTTTTCTGAAATAGTGCTCCGTTCTCTTCCATGTGTGTCATTATATTATTTTTATCCGTATTTGAATGCCCCATGGGATTCACGTTGATGGTTGTCCGTAGAAATGTTGTGTGCACGCCTGTGTCTAGGCAAACACTAATAGTCTCTTGACCTAAATTTGCATTTTTGATATAAAAAAAAATGATTATCCATGCAATTCGAATGGCCGCTTGAAATGGTTCGAAGCTTAGAAACCACTGCCACGTGGAACGTAAATGCGTGGATGCATTATGCATTGCATGCGCAATGTCTGCCTACGAAGACTCAGGAGATTTAACTGCTAAAGTAGGCTTACGCACAAAACAGTCTATATTTGTCGCCAACAGTACACGAGGGCAGGGACCAAGGCTAAATAAAACCACAAAGTGAAACTCTGACTCACCATAAAGTACCCATTATTACGAAAGTATGATATTCAGCAAGCAACTAGCAGCTGCGGCCATGTTGTCTTTTCCCCTGGGTTTTGACACATGAAATTCTGCCCTTGGAGTAGACAGAGAGTTCTCCAAGCCCAGAGAGCATATATTGTTCGTAGTGCATTGGATGCACCTTTTATTCTGTTGCTTTTGTAGCCCGACGAATCTTGAAGGAATTGTAAATTGTAAAATTGACATCCGAGCTTTGGGTTTGTCAAGACATTTCACTCAAGATTTTAAAAAAATATATTTTAGGAATTACCCCTTGCCTAGGGTAATGACATAGAATACTGGAAAATTGTCATTTTTTTTTTTTTTGCTTCAAACTGTTTATTTTGAGAAAATCTGCAAAGGCTGTTGGAACAGCTCACGAAATGTGATCGTTGTACAGTTAGTAATGACATATTCATTGAAATAATTCTATTTCTTCATTATAGAACGGTAATGATTATTAAATCGATACAACATGAATAAATAGCTTAAATACGGTGCGGTATCTGGACGGGGTTTCAGCAATCTATTTTATGATTTACACTGCATCTGATATGCGTGTCCCTAGCAGTACTTGTAGCTCTATCTCTGCAGGGTCCATCTGGTTATTAACATTCACACTTACTGGCAAGAGCGAGGGTTATTTCTGACGGCAGTTTTTTCCTCTCGGGCCCCAGAAGTTGTGGCGGATCCTTACTTAAGTAGTCGATGCTGGCACATTCTGAGGGTCTATCCGGGTCTGTAAAGAAATGGTCGAAAATTTTAGCGTTGTTTTGAATAGGAACACCGTAGGAGAGCCCTACTAATTGCATTAAATGGCGCACATTGCTGCTAAGTAAGAATTAATGAGCACATATTGGCAGATGTTTCAGGAAAGATCAATTCTGCCGATAGATAACTTGGTTAAAAAAAGCACCATGGACGTTCAAATACGTAACATATGTCGCAAACAGAACATAGCACTTTTTT